CGGAGATCGCATGGCGCCACAGCAGGCGTCCAGCCCTTGCTCCTGCGTGCAGCGTGTAGTCCTGGATGATCTTCCTGCCTCCGCAGCTGTGACTGGACGTGTGTGGTACCGCTGGTCGCAGGTGGCCTCTCCATCCCCTGCATGCGTGCCTACTGAAGGTGGGTGGGCAGCACAGTGACTCTGGGGTGACAGATATGGAAAGCAATAGGATATATTGGAGTATATGAGGAAGCCATTTGGTGTAAACCTAATTCGGCCTGACTTTCTTTTTCCAAAGGGGCCTGACATGGTCATCAAGCATGCATTGTATATCTGCTTTAAACATTTCCTGTGGCAAGAACAAAGGCCCTTAAGATAAAGGTGCAACTTCCCCCAACACTGGCTTTCCTTAAGGATAGGCATCTTTCCTTAGGCTGGGAGCTGATTGTTGTGCTCACCTTTGACCACCCAGCTCACCTTTGAGCACCCAGCTCACCTGTGACCACCCAGCTCAAAACAACAAACCTGCCACTCTGCTGTGTCCACCGAGACAGCAGACCTACCTGCTGTGTCCATCAATCGCTGTGCCAAAGGAGCAGTCTCGTGACTATTGTAAAAGGGACATTTCAGTCACATGTGAAACATCCTGTTTGGGGATATATAACCACTCTGTACACCCCACTTCTTTGGTGCCCGTCCTTCCTTCAGGAAGAAAGACCCCAGGCCACGGTCTTCACATTTTAGCTCAGAATAAACTCTCCCAAATTTTCATTTATAGAATGGTTATGGATTATTTTTGCCAACAGGGCAACAGAAGAGACCAGAGGCTGGTGGCATGGAAACCCACCTGCCCATCCACCCAGCAGTCCTGATCCTGGGGTGCAGCCGAGGGCCCGGGGCCAGAGGACAGCCTCTCACACTGCCCTGTCCTCAAGCCTCGGCCTCAGGGGCTGGCGGGGCTCTACAGGGAGGTCATCCAGTCTCTTCTTGGTGACAGGGCTGAGGTGCAAGCTTTTAAACAAGATGCTCTTCTGTAATTGTCGGGTTGGACCTTCATGTGAGGAAAGCCCCCTGGGGGCTGGCGGTTCAGACGGGAGGGTGCCTGGTGGGAACCTCAACGGGAAGGTGAGTGTGATGGTGGATACCTGTCATTGTCCGTCTGTCCAAACCCACAGGACACACAGCCCGGGAGCAACACTAATGTCACCCGGGGGCTTTAGTTGATAAGATCGTATCAATGTGGGGTCACCAACGGTAACAAATGCTGCTCGCTGGTGAGAGATGTTCCTAACAGACAAAAGTGCATGTGGGGACGGGACTTTCTGTGCACAATTTTCTATGAACCTAAAAGTGCTCTTGGGGCTGGCCCCGTGGCCGAGTGGTTAAGTTTGCGTGCTCCACTGCAGGTGGCCCAGTGTTTCGTTGGTTCGAATCCTGGGCGCAGACATGGCACTGCTCATCAAACCACGCTGAGGCAGCATCCCACATGCCACAACTAGAAGGACCCACAACGAAGAATATACAGCTATGTACCGGGGGGCTTTGGGGAGAAAAAGGAAAAATATAAAATCTTAGAAAAAAAAAAAAGAACCCGCATTTGGTTTAAAAAAAAAAAGTCCTGTAAAAAATAAAATTGATTTTAATTTTTAAAAAATTTGTTAGAAAAAGCAGAAGGTATAAGATAGGCTCAAGGGGCCGGCCCGGTGGCACAGTGGTTAACTACGCATGTTCCACTTTGGTGTCCTGGGGTTCGCTGATTCAGATCCCAGGTGTGGACATGGCTCCCCTTGGCAAGCCATGCTGTGGTAGGCGTCCCACATATAATGTAGAGGGAGATGGGCATGGATGTTAGCTCAGAGCCAGGCTTCCTCAGCAAAAAGAGGAGGATTGGAGGCAGATGTTAGCTCAGGGCTAATCTTGCAAAAAAAAATAAAAGATAGGCTCAAGGCAAAGAGGGAGAGCCGAGGGAGGTGCCGGGTGTGCAGGTGACGAGGCGGAGTGGGGCGTCACAGAGCAGGGTGTGGAGGGAAGGCACAAACACTGTCATAGCGAGCCGGCCAGGCAGGAGGATGTCATGGAGACACTGGCGCTGCACAGCTGATGTCGGGGAGGAGCTGTCACGGGGAGAAAGTGGCAGGAGCGACCCTCACCATCTAGCCCATGATGTCCACATGAGTGAGAAGTGGACCCCATCGTGTGGCTGAGATGCAGGATGCCAGCACCCCTGCACCCGGGTCTGCAGGGCCTCCCCTCACCCAGGGGGAGAGGAAGCAAGGTGAGGACCATCTGGCCTCCATGAGGACACCCTGAAAGTCCCAGGGACACAGCCACGGGCTGCGAGGAACTACTACAGAGGTGGGGAGATGAGGGGGGAGGGGACGGATTGGGGCGCACAACCCCCACTGACCACACAGCCAGGGGCCCAGCCTGCAGGCAGCCGCATGTCCATGGGGGAAGACGCGCAGGAATCCTACGGATCAGCGTTATGTATCACCCAGGGAGCCGAGTGAACCTGCAGGATGGGGACCCTCACCCCTCCCACGTCTCACTCCTATGGGACTTCATCATGCCCCAGTCAGGCCCCTGGCTACACCTCCTGCTGACTCCGGCTCAGCGACACCCCAGGTGCCAGCCGCAGACACCAGCTCCAGCCGACTGAAGCAGAAAAGAGATCTCAGGAGAGGATGCTGGGGTGCAGCTTCCATTTGCGCAGAAACAGGTCCACAGAGACTCCTGGCTCCCTTTGCCAGACACAGTGGGTCAGAATGGGGTCCCCTCAAAATCACGTCCACCTGGAACCTCGGGTTGTGATTTCATTCGAAACTAGGGTGTTTGCAGATGTAACTAAGTCACGGTCGTCCTGGATGAGGGTGGGCTCTAGATGCAATGACCAGCATCCTGGGGAGAGCAGAGACGCACAGAGAGGGGAGGCCGTGTGCAGACAGAGGCAGAAACTGGAGAGGTGTGTCCACAGGCCAAAGGACCTCAAGGACTGCCGGGAGCCAGTGGGAGCTGGGAGAAGCCTGGGGAGGATCCTCCACCAGAGCCTCTGGAAAGAACCACTCTGCTTACGCGTTGACTGCAGACTTCTGGCCTCCAGGATCCAGACAACATAAATTGCTGTCCTTTGAAGCCACCGCGTTTGTGGTGCTTTGTTAGGGTGGCCCTGGGAAAGTGACACCCAGCCTGAGCGTGGGGACCCCAGGAACGAGAAGGTGTGTGAGACGGAGGCTGGGAGGGCTCCCCGGCCACACAGAGGACAGCAAAGGCCTGGTGTTGAGCGGAAATGGCTCCTGGCACCAGGGGACGCTGGCGGCAGGGACGACAGAGGTCTGAGTCGCTCCGGACTTTCTCTGCCACGTCAACTGGGTGGAACGCGAAGTCTTGTGTGATTGTGTACAATTGTCAAAAACCTCATCACACTGAACACTTACAATTGGTGAACGCTGTTAAATGATACCTCACTAAAGCTGCCTTTAAAAAAAAAAGAGAGAGAATTTACAGTTATTGAAATAAAGCAAGCATGATATTGGTGCACGTGGAAGGCAGAATTCTAAAAATCACAGCCGTCAGAAGGGAAAAATTAAACACACAGGCAGTATCAACGGCAGGGAGAACACGGAGCAGCGGGAACCGGGGTTCCGAAGCCGGGCGTGCTGGTTCCTGGGGTGGGAGGCTGAAAACAGGCATTGATGGACTGACTTTCTCTCTTTTATTGGAGTGACGGCCGCGTCACTGCCATCTCCACCTCAGCATTCACAGTGCCTCTGTGTCCCCATGTGTGTCTCATCATAAAGACGAGTGCGGTTGCGTTAACGGCCCACCCAGATAATCCAGGATAAGCTCCTCTCAAGACCCTCGATCGCATCGTTTGCTGGATAACATAATATCTGCTGGTTCCAGAGATTAGGACCTGGACCTGCCTCTGGGGGGCCACCACTCAACCCACTACGGGGGTGGGTACCAATGTGTACATCTGGCCTGGAAGATAATTTACCCCCGTGGGCAGAGAGCCCAGAGAAGTTTCTTGCACGGAGAATAAGACGGTGGATCCTCAAAAGAGGGGAGTGTCTCAGAGCAGGCGTTTACTCAGCAACGCGGCTAGACCCCAAAGCATCCTGGTGAGCGAGAGGAATTGCCTGAAGCAGCATCCCCGCTCCAGCTCTGCTTCCGGGAACCTGATCCGGGACCAGAGGCACCGAGGGGGCAGCGCAGGCGTGAGGCAGCCGACTCCACCAGGGGGCGCAGCAAAGAGGGACGGACAATCAGGCAGATCTGACACCACTTGGGAAGTTAAACGCCAACCGTTAACACCCAATGCAAGGGGTAGGGCCCTTGGTCTTTTCCTTTGGGTCTTGATTCAACTCCCTCGAGGCAGGCAGGGCTGAAATATGAGTAGACCCATCTTCTCTGCCAACGGTCCTTCTGTCTGTCCACTGGGCTCCCTCCCCTCCTCCTGACAGCCAGCAGACCGCCCCAGCGCCCCGCTCCGCGCCCCAGGATCACCCCCAGCACCGTCTCCTCGGGCGGGAGGAATCCTGGAATGCAGCATATTTCACTACTACAAGTGTCCACGGGAACCATCGGTGCAAAGGTGGAACTTAATTTTACAAATTAACTGAAATCATTTTTTCCCTCTCGGGTCCCCGGGTCTATTTGATTCAGCCTACTCAGTCCAGACACTTTCAGTTAATAACCGGTGAGGGTTGGCCGATTCATTCATTCATTAAGTACTTCCTGAGCGGCCACCGTTCGTTCGCAGGCACTGTTGCAGGCGCTGGGACTATGCAGTGGACAAACGTCCTGCTCTCCTGGAGCGCGGAGAGTCTGAAGCTCCAGTTTAAAAGTCGGCGGTGGGGGGGGGGGGGGGGGGAGGTTCACAGCGCCTGTCAGTCGCGCCCCTGGGAGTCCCAGCAGCCCAGCCCCCACCGGCCCGGCGCCCAGGTGTTCAGGGCCCCGGGCCCACCTGCAGCCGAGCCTTGGCCACGCCCCTCCCGCCCGGGGCGCGCGGGCCCGGCCGCCCCCGTGTGCCCACGAGGAGTAACTGCAGGCCCGTCGTTTCGAGCATCTTTACAGGCACCGGTCGACGCGCGGAGGTCAGCGCCTCGCGGTCCTCGTGGAAGCTTGTCCCCCGTGCCGCAACACACCACAGCCCACCTGAAGACGCGGCTCCGGGCTCAGGACCCCAGGGTCCTCGGAGGGGTCCGCACTGGCTCAGCGCTGAGCGCAGCCCAGGGGCAACTGCCCTTCCGTCCACCCCCGTCCCTCTCCGGCCGTTTCCTCCAAACCACCAGCTGTCCCAGAGCCCTTCGAGGGCAGGACCGTGTCTCCGGTTCGTCTCTGGACCCCTGGGAGCATGGGGGGGGGGGCGGTGGGCACGGAGTGGGCGCTCAGTTTGCGGTCCCCAGACACGAACAGAGAACTGCGCGAGTGAGGGCGCGGCCACCAGGGGGCGGTCCCGGCCCGGGCACCCTGCTCCACATCTTTGCTCTAAATTTGATCAAACCTTCAAATAAGACCTGGACTAAAAAACTGTATAGCACTACCAGAAACGGAAGACCAGCGTCACTTGTCATAAACAAATAGAAAGAAAACACAAAAGTGGAAATGGAGTAGGCAGCCTTGTTGCAGATTCTGACTGTGCACTGCTGTCCATCAGGGTGACAGGCTGCCTCCATCCCTGGACTCCGAGAAGAGGAAACAGCAGTGAGGCTCCAGTTTTCCCAGGGGGAGCTCTCCTGTCCACTGTGGAGCCATCAAGGTGGGAAAGGTCGGTTCCTGAGATGCCACTCCCCACCCCACTTCCCACCCCTGAGTCTGTGAGTCAGAGGCACTGGGACATCCTGGGGGAATGACAGAGAGAGTGCCCTCGAAGAGCTCAGTGATACAGGGCAGTGGTCCTCACCATCTCCCCATGGAATTCTCCAGGAGAGTCCCTGCCAAACCAAATGGATCCTTGTGGGTGTCGGTAACTTCAATCGTAGATGCCATGCTGGTGTCTTTCCCAGGACAGATCAACACAGCCTTTGGTTGTTGATCTGGTGAAGCATTCTTTCCAGTCCCCATCAGAGAGCAGTGGAGCGGTGTGCGTTTACCTGGGAAGGACAACAGTGTGCACCCGTGGTCTTGCCCATGGGCATTGAGCCATCTTGCAGAGCATCCTATTTGTCTGCTACACTGATGACATCAGGATAACTGGACCTGAGGAACAAGTATCTGGTAAGACACGTGCCTGCCAGGGGCATGACACATGGATGATGTTTTGAGGGTACAGTGCTTTGGGGGCATGCTTTCCCTTCCAAGATAAAGGACAACCTATAGGTTATACCTCCTGCCACCAAAAAAGAAGCACAGTGTTGAGTGGCACCTTTGGGTTTTGGAGGCAGAGTATACCACGCTAGGGACTTCTGCTCCAGCCCAGTTGTCAAGCGATAACTCGCTTATCATCCACCCATTTTGAGTGGGGCCCAGAGCAAGAAAGGGATCTGCAGCAGGTTCGGGCTGGTCCGAGTGGCCCTGCTGCTGGGGCGATGTGACTTGGCACCGTGAGGGGTGGAATCTTCCCAGGGCCTCACAGCCAGTCTGGGTAGAGCTGGTGCTGGAACTCTGTGCCCTGTGGCTGTGGCCCACCCAGACCCGCTGAGCATTCGGCACACAGGGTCTCTAGGGCTGGGACACAGGCTGGGCCTTCTCCCACCTCCCACCCCCACCCCACACCCCTACTCCAGCCGGGAGATCTGTCCCAACCCATGCAGAGGCCCTGCCATCACCTCGGGGCTCCTGAATGAGGCCCCCAGACCCACCGCTCAGCCTCAGGCTCCTGGCAGTTGTGGAATGTTCCTGTGTCTACTCCAGGTTCCTCCCGCCCACTCCGGGAGCCCTGTTCCCTCCTGTGGGGCCTTGGTAACAAATCCTCTGGGCTCTCTGAGCTCTGAGACCTCCCAGATAGACCCCTCCTTTCTGGGAACTCCATGGCATTCATTCATTCATTCATTCATTCATTCAGCATGCCTCTCCTAAGGTTTTTGCTATATGCTGAGATCCAGGAGGTTGGACCTTAATAACCCCCTGCCTCAGGGCTGCTGTCCCGCTGCTCTGGAGGGAGTCCCTTCGTGGGTCTCTCCACCCCTCTGCATCCTGCCTCCTCCCTCTGTGCGGGCACCCATTCCTCAGCTCTCAGCCCTCTGCCTGGACCGAGCAGCGGCCCTCTCAGGGCACCATTTAAACAGCAGGCCCCGAAGGCAGGCGGCCCCGGGCTGGACACATGGAAGGACAACTGATGGCCAGACAGGCGTGGGTGTGCTGAGGCCTCAGAGCAGTGGGGGTGGATTCTTGGTCTGCTCGGGCCACCACAATGAATCCCACAGATGTGGCTTAGGAGCCGCAGACATTTACACCTCACGGTTCTGCAGGCTGGAAGGCGAGATCAGGTCCAAGGAGGGTCTCTTCCTGGTTCTCGGATGGCCAGCCACCTTCTCTCTGTGTGTTCGACCCATAGACAGAGAGGCAGTGACCTCTCTCTCTTCCTCTTCCTATAAGGCCATCCATCCTATCGAATTAGGACCCCACCCTTATAACCTCATTTAACCGTAATCACCTCTTAAATGCCCCATCTCCCAAAACAGTCACATTGGGTGTTAGGGCCTCAACCTACAGATTTGTGGGGAACACAGTCCAGTCCAGAGCAGACAGTGTGGAAACCCAGCCGGGCCCTGTACCTGACTGCTCCGGGGATCTGGGCCACCCGCCTGTCCATGGGCAGGTTGGTGCCTCAAGTGGCAGCGGGTCTGGGATCCGGGACTGCCCCTGGACCTTGGGCAGGAGGGAGCATCCTGTGGGGCGTCCCCACCACTCTGCTTCACCAGAATTGCTCCCCAGACTCTCCTGCTCACACACCCTACCCTGCAAGGCCAGCTGAGAGGCTTGCCAAGGCCCCCGGACACAGGCCTGCCCGGGCTCTCTGTGCCAGTCTCTGCCTCAGCCTGGGCGGCCTTGTGTCGGCTCCCGTGAATCACGGTCTCCCGTCTTCCTTAGCCAACCAGCTTTTCAGGTTTTGCTGAGTTTTTTCTTTTTCTTTTTTAAAGATTGGCACCTGAGCTAATCTGTTGCCAGTCTTCTTTCCTTTTTTTATTTATTTGAATTCTTTTCCCAAAGCCCCCTGGTACATAGTTGTATATTTTTAGTTGTGGGTCCTTCTAGTTGTGGCATGTGAGATGCCACCTCAACATAGCCTGATGAGCAGTGCCATGTCTGCACCCGGGAACCGAACCAGCGAAACCCTGGGCTGCCGCAGTGAAGCGCGTGAACTTAACCACTCGGCCACAGGGCTGGCACCCAAGTTTTTTCTTTATTAAGGTTGCTTACCTCTTCTTGGGGCTTTCTTGCTGGTAATATTTTTCTTTCTCCATTCAGAAAAAAAAAAAAGGGTTTTTTTAATGCGTTGCACTTCTTGACCCACACTTCGAATTACTCAGATTTAAAAACAAAACAGCAAAACTCTCTCCCCTGACAGGCTCCTTCCTCTAGCCTCCTCTTTGCCCTGTTCCTTGGCTTCCCAGCCAGCAGGCTCTGGTCACACAAGCTGACTCGCTGGCCTCTCCTCCTGCCCTCCCCTCTCCCCACAGCCCGGCCCTCACTCCACCTAGTCTGCTAAAGTCACTGGCAACCTCCACCGCCAGGTCCTGGGCTCCCGTCACAGTCCTCTAACGGTCGTGACCAGCTCTCCTGGCTTTCCCAGAACCAAGGGGATCCCAGGAGGCGAGGTTTCGGGGGTTTGTTAGTGTTATTGTGGTAAACTACACAGAACTGAAAACTTGCCATTGTAACCCTTTTTAAGTGAACAATTCAGCCGCATTCAGTACATTCACAAGGTTGTGCAGCCATCACCACTATCTAGTTTCAGAACACTTTCATCCCCAAAGGGAAACCCCGTGCCTGCCAAGCACTTGCTCCACGTCCACCGCTCCCCCAGGCCCTGGGAACCCCCGGTCTGCCCTCTGTGTCTGGGTCTCCCTGTCCTGGCCGTTTCATGTGAGTGGAATCACACAACAGTGGTCTTTCGCGTCCAGCTTCTCTCTCTCAGCGTGTCGGCCATCCACGTCGCGGCGTGTCAGCGTCAGGGATCCTCTCCGTCTGCAGCTGAGCCACGTCCCGCCGTCAGGACGGAGCACGGTTGTTAAACCACGTGTCTGTTGAGGAGCCCATGGGCTGTCCCCGCTCTTCGGCGGGTGTGACAGCGATACCAGGAAGATTCCCCAACGCGGTTTTGTGAGAGTACATGGTTTCACTTCCTCCGAGTCTGTCCCTAAGAGCAGGGTCGTGGGTCATTGTACAGAAGGGACTTTCAATGTCGAAACCAAACTGGGGTTTGGTTGGGTTGGCCGCCCTCCAGATTACCTGACCTCCCAGCGGCCTGCACCTGCTCTTCTCTCCTCCGGGACGCTGCCTCCACTTTCCTCCTGCTCCTCGTCCGCGCCTCCGCGGGGCCCTCTGCCAGAGCCCCTCGCTGCCACCCCGTCACTGATGGCGTTCTTGGATCCTGACTCGGGCCTTCTCGCCCTCCGTGTACACTCTCTCCTGGGTCATCTCCTCCCTCCAGGGGCTTCAGATCACCTGCACAGTGAGGACGCCCAGGGCTGCACCTTCAGGTGGTGTCTCATGCGCCTGGAACCCAACATGCCCCAAACTGCACTCCTCCCCTAGCCTGGCACATGGCCCTGCAGACTCTGGCATCCCGCGTGGCACTGCCAGCCACCAGTCCCAAGCCGCCCAACCTCAAGGCCAGGGTCACCCTTGACTTTCCCTGCTCTCCCACCCCCCACCAATCCAAGACCCAGATACCCCTTCACCCACCCACCCCTCTCCCCTTCCCTGTCCAGGCCACCAAATCCCCACCCCTGCTTTCTTCAGGAGTCAGTTAGGGGGCCTCCCTGTGGTCCTGCCCTCTCCAAACTGTGGTGCACGCTCTGTGATCCAACTAGAATGCAAATCTGCCCCCATACTGAACAGCTCCCCTCTGCCCACAGGAGAAAGCCTGAATTCCTTGCTGGACTCCCATCCCCGTCCTCCCATGCTCGCCATTCCGACTCACTCTCCAGTCCTACCCTCTCTGACTGCATCCCTTGCCCTCGCCTTCTGCAAAATTCCTCACTACCCTTCCAGCACCCGCCTCGATGTCACCTCCTCCAGGAAGACTGCCCTGATCTATGAGGGAGTGGTGGGCCTTTCCTCCGTCCCCCTGGTTGTTTGACTCACTGCATGGCAAGCCCCCCTCTGCTGAGCAGCCTCCCCCCGGACTGTCGGCTCTGGGGCGGCAGGGATGGCTCTTCATTCGTCACCACTTGTACCCCAGTTCCGAGCTGGGCACCCAGCATGAACACACGCTTGGTGAGCATCTGTTGTCTTGAAGGGAACAGAGAATAAATGTGAAGTTGGATGCCCCTCAGGGGTTTGAGCTCATTACCTGGAGAAGGCACACCTGGGGGAGTCAGCATTGCAGCCTGCCAGGTAGGCGCCAGCAGGCAGGGCCGGGAAGGTGGCACATGTGGCTGCCGGCCCCTGGGAGAGGCCTTAGTGGACAAGCCCCTGGTGCCAGGAAAGACAGCGGGGCTGGTCCTGTGGCAGAGAGTCCGAGCATGGCTGAGCTGCCCTCTGGCCTCAGGGCTCTAGGCAGCAGGTCTGGCCTCTCTGAGACTGTCCCCCTCCTTGGGGGGACCAAGATCTGGCTCAGCTGAGGAGACACACACCCTTGGTCCTGAGCCTCCCTGGGACCTGGAGTCCAGGATGTGGAGACACAGGAAACCAGAAGGGGACACGTCACAACGGCCTTGGAGCATGTTGGCGTCCACTCAGACCATGGCAGAGGTCCACAGACGGTTCTTAGGGTTCAAGGAGCCGGCGTTAAGTACCACTGAAGTATAGAGTGAGGGAGGCATTTCTGTTTCTCGTAGTCTTTCTGAATAAAACAAAGAGAAAGGCTCCCCTTTGGGCCGCTGTGGTTACTCTAACGCCTCTCCAAGTCTGGGTATCCTTTCCCCGCCATGACCGCCTTTAACAAGAAACAGCCAGTGGGGCGCAGAATCTTGGCACACAGCACTATCCATATCCCGCCATAAACCAGGAGCACGGTGGGGTTTGCACTGCATTTCTAGCAGAGTGCCAGGCCTAGGGACGGTCCCTATCCAGTCGTGATAGAAAGTCTCCTTTATTTACCCAGATGAGAAAGCCAGTGAACAAACGACTAGGTCAGAGGCGCCAGGCAGAGAGCGCAGTCGAACCAGCCTTGTCTGCCGCTGCGGGGCTGGACCAGCGGGCGCTTTGCTACCATCTGGCTGCTGAGGGTGCCTGGGCCGGGAGTCGCCGATGCCGCATGGGAGTAACCCGAACCAGGGAGCGCCGTTTTCCTTCATTCTTCCGCCTGGCATATTTTGAACTCTTTCCCCACCTGGGCGCAGGTTGGGAGGCAGACCCCCAAACAGATGGTTGTAGCACAAGCTGGGGGGACCTTCCAGGGGCTGGGGGAGGCACAGGAGGGAGCTGGGATTTGGAGCAGGTGGGAGGGGAGGTGGGACGGAGCCACCTGGCTGCAGTGCTGGGGGAGGGAAGGGCACTGTGGCGGAGGGGACCCTGCAAGCAGGCAGCTGCGCAGGTTGGGGGCAAGGTGGGGGTGCGATCTGGGCTCCACATCCGTCCGAGGGCTGGGGTCTTAGTCCCCTCATTTGAGGGTGAGCTGGCTGCAGTGGGGATAGAGATCCGGATGGGCGCTGGCAGCGGCTCGAGGGTCCTCAGGATGCCTCTTTTAGATGTGGGGGCTGAGTGTGAGGAGCACCAGGGGGAGATGCTGGGCCAAGGCTGCGGCTGAGCGGAGGGTCTGGAAACACTGCGTGAGCCTGTGGCTGCAGGGGAGGGGGGCCGGGTACTCCAGGCATGCCCTGTGCTCCCTCTTGCTCCTGCAGTAGCAAACACATTCTCTTACTTGAACTGAAATGAAAATGGACAAACCCGTCCATGGCCCCACCTCAGTAAACGGGGAGGGAGAGAGGAGTGCCCGACCAGTGGGAAGGGGCCTGGAGCGAGAGGACAGGCCACCACCATGCAGTCCATCTTGCCGTCTTCCATCTGTCTCAGGGGACTTGGGGGCCAAACCCTGAGTTAGGGCCAGGTTCTTTCTGCACTGGGGTTGGGGGGACATCCCAGCTGTGCCGGGCAGTCCCTTTATTTTCTACTCACAGCAGGTCATGATGACTGGATATTTCTCCCGGCCAGCTCTCTCCTGTCCAGGCCGGAGCAGAAATGGAGTTCTGCCCTCTCACAGCGTCCCTCCCCACCAAGAGCTGCAAGGGACACACAGCAGGATGTCTGTCCACCGCCAGGTTCTGAGAACCCAGCCTGGTCACAGCCTCTCTGAGTGACAGTGGCGAATTGGCCGTTGGCATTGACAGGCATCCAATGACCATCTTCCTTTCTTATTTGGGGCATGGAGAAGCCATCAAGCTCAAGGGGCAGGGGACAGGCTGCTCCCTCCTCTATCTTAATGTACAAAAACATCCAGTGGACAAGGATCAGTGAGCTCGGGGACCTCTGACCAGGTTCACACATGCACAGGTGAGGGGGACGTGACACCTTCACATGGCCCCAGCATCCTAGCTTGGGGGTACCCTCTCTGTCCTGTAGGGCCAGGCCAGGGGCTGAGGAGCCAGGCAGGGGGTCTGAGGGGTGCCCCAGCCCTTTGGGGTCAGAGGGTTCCCTCTCGGAGCTTGCAAGGGGAGTCCCTTGGAATGGGGTCATGAACCAGAGTCATCGCGGGTCCCTGCTACGTAGGAACATCTTGTGAAGGGCTCAGCCTGGCGAGGCTGGGCTGCAGGGTGGGGGGACCCTCAGAGACTCAGGGTGTGTCCTCAGTGCCACTGGAGAGCCCAAGGGCAGCATGGCACCAGAGCCTGGAGGAGGAAGCAGAGGACACCAGGGTTGGGAAGGAGGAGAGAGAAGCTGTGGAGAGAGGACGGTGGCCATGGGTCCAGCGCCTCCCCAGTGCCCCCTTGCAATCCATATGCACGCCCCAGAGCTAGAAGCTGGGGCTCCTCACCCTCCATGGACCGTTCCTGAGCTCAGGGAGACAGATCCAGTCCCTCCCAGGCCCTGGGCCTCCCCTCCTTCCAGACTTTTCCACAGCGCTGCACCAATTTACATAACCACCAGCAATGCACGAGGCTTCCTATTCCTCCACGTCCTTGACAACACTTGTTATTTTCTGGGGCTTTTTCATTGTTTGTTTGTCGATTCTGGAATCCTCATGGGTGTGAGGTGGTACCTCCTGCGGTTGGATTTGCGTTTCCCTGGTGGCTGTGCTATTGCGTATCTGGCTGTATGCCGACGGCTGTGTGTGTAAATTCCTTGGAGCAATGTCTGTTCAGACCCTTTGCCCGTTTTGAAGTGGGCTGTCTGTTTTTTGTTGGTAGGTAGTAGGAGTTCTCTCTATATTCTGGATATTAACCTCTTACCAGATGCATGATTTGCAAATATGCTCTCTCATTCTGTGAGTCGCCTTTTCACTCTGTTCATAGTATCCTTTGATGCACAGAAGTTTTTAATGCTGATGAAGCCCAATTTCTCTATTTTTTTCTTTGGTTGCCTGTGTTTTTGGTGTCATATTCCAAAAACCATTGCCAAATCCAGTGTCATGAAAATTTCCCCTATGTTTTCTTCTAAGAGTTTTAGGGTTTTGGCTCTTAGGTTTTGAGTCAGTTTTGTATGTGGTGTGAGGGAAGGATGCAGCTTCATTCTTCTGCACGTGAATCATCTTCCTTTTTCCCCTGGAGCAGCGGCCCCTGCATGCAAACCTCCTGGGTACTCACAGCTTGGCCCCAGCAGGCACCCAGGGGAGCTGGGAGTCCTGCCCTTCTCCAGGCAGCTCCCACAGGGTGGGCACATGACCTGGCACAGTCAGCCAGAATCCTTCCCTGGGGCTTTGTTCATGGATTCTGTACAAAGCCCTCACCCTGTCCAAGCCTCAGTTTCTCCTTTGTTCCCAATCAACTCCCCTCTGTCTCCCAATGGAACTGCTGCACTTTGTACACACAGCAAACCGCCCAGCACACGGGAGATGTTATGTAAGGTCTGTTCCAATCCCCCAACCCCACCTCCCTGCTCATTCTGCCTGGGCCACAGGGGCAGTTCCTGCTCATCCCACCGCTCACCCCACCACCCATGCCTTCCACAGGAAGGCTCTTCCCCCAGCCCTCCCCACAGCTGGGTGCTGCTCCCCCTTCAGATCTCAGTCTGGACGTCACCTCCTCAGAGGCCACCTTGACTGCCCTGTCTAAACCAGGTGTATTAGTTAGCTCTTGCTGCGTAACAAATCACTACACACTTAGCAGCTTTAAACAGAGCACATTATCTCAGTTCCTGGGCATCAGGAGCCCGGGCTTGGGGGGTCCTCTGCTCAGGGTCTCGCAAGGCTGGGGCTGCATTCTCCAGCCCCTGTCTGAGACTTGGCGCCTCCTGCATTGGCAGCATTCAACTTGTTACTGAAGGTCTGAGGTCCCTGCTTTCTTGCTGGCTGTCAGTGGAGGGCCATTTGCTGCTCCTGGATGCTGCCTCCTGTCCCCTGCTATGTGGCCCCCTCTACAACAGGGCAGTGTGCTTCTTCAAGGCCAAAGTTAGTGCTGGATAAATGTTTGTGAACTGACCAATGAATGGACAACTGAGTGGCCGTGAGAACGTGTGTGGGGGGTGCAGGCTGCTCACAGAAGTCTTCTGGGCTGAGGATACCAGATCTGAGGTGGCCTTCTGCCTGCCCCCTGCCCTTGTCCAACCCACCCTCCACCTAAGTGCCCCACCCTCCCTCCACCAATCCCTACACTCCTCCTGGCAAGGGGGCCTGGGGCCTCACACCACTTCCCACCAGGATGTGAGTTCTCTCTGCTGGGTGGAGCTCAGCAAGCAGGGCTGAGAGGCCACATCTCTTCCATCTCCAGGTGTCCCCCCACCACACGCAAACATGGAAGCAGGACCTTGTCTTGTGTCTCCTGCTCCACGGCTCCCCACACCCCACAGGATCGGGCCAAGGCCCTCCACAACCACATGCCACATCTCATCTGCCTCCACAAACTACACCCTTCATTACCCCTCCAAACCCCCTGACCTGGCCAGCCTTGCCTTCTCTCTGCTCCCTAACTGTGCCAAGCCCACGTAGATCCTGGTTCTCCTCTCTTTCCTCCAGCAATGGCTACCACCTTTTACTGGCCACTGCTATTTGCTGGGTGCCTTCCCCAAACACCCCTGTGTAAGCCTCCTGGCATCCACACCAGAAAGATGGCTTTTTTCTTTTTTTCTTTTTTCCTGAGGAAGATTCACTCTGAGCTAATATCTATTCCAATCTTCCTCTACTTTGTATGTGGGTCACTGCCACAGCATGGCTGACAAGTGGTGTAGGTCCATGCCCGGGACCTGCACACAAGAACTCATGCCACTGAAGTGGAGAGCATTAACTTAATCACTACACCACAGGGCTGGCCCCAGAAGCAGGTTTCTTAAAGTGTAGCTAAGCAACCACATGCTGTGTGCAGGCTCACCTGGGCACCTGTTAAAATGCATGCTCCCAGGACTGCTCGGAGCTGGCAAACCAGGGCTGGGGGCCCAGAGGACGGGTGTCTCAGACAAGCCCCCAAAGACCCTGGTACTCTGAGGTTGAGAACTGCAGCTGTCTCAGTGGACAGGCAGAAGGAGGCAGAGTCCCCAGGCCAGGCCCATGCTGGGTCACTGTAGGGACCCAGGAGTGGGCAGCCCCTTTGGAGTTCAGAGTTTGGGAGAGACTTGGAATTCACATTCTGCTCAAGAGGGCTGGGCCCTCTGGCGTTTGTCACCTGAGACCGTGGTCACTATAGCCAGGCCCTCTCTCTGGGCCACTGTTGACCAGGAGTTACCCTAGGCAGACCCCCTCCCCAGCCCAGCAGAGCCAGCAAACCCACTAGACACCCCATCTCAGGGCTTGTGGCCACCCCCACTTTATTCCGCCAGAATAACAGGATGGCTGGGAACACATGGAATTCATCCCGAGCACCCGCTGAGAACACTGGGCCAGATGAGGGCCACTGGACACGAGACCTATGGTCCCTGCCCCTGGGGAAGCCAACAGCCTCAGCACAGTGCCAAATAGAAAACTCTGGGGGAAGAAATGAGGGAGGGATGGAAAGACGGAGGGAGGGAGGAGAGGAAATAGAGGGAGTCGAGGAAGAAGAAGTGAAGGAAGTGGGGAGGAGGGGGAGGAGGGAGATGGAGGGAGATGGAAGGAGATGGAGGAAGAAGTGAGAAGGGAAATGGAAGGAAAGAGGGAGATGGAAGAGACAGGGAGGGGAAGATGGAGGGAGGGATGGAGGAGGGAAGAGGAAGATGAGGAAGATGGAGTGAAAGAAGGAGGAGGGAGATGGAAGGAGGGAGGAAAGGAAAAAGGAGGGAAAGGAGTGAACACAGGGGAGTCGCCTCTGCTGTCCAGCGGCCCCAGCCTGCCCCCCGGAGCTCTCCACTGCCGTGCTGCCCCGGGTGGGGCGCTGGACACTCTCCCCGCCTAATCCCAAAGCGCCCGCGGGCGGGGCGGGCTGACCTTGGAAAGCGCCCTCTCCGCCCCGAGAGCTGGGGTTTGGGCCCAGGGAATGGGGGCAGCCCGACGGGAAGGCTCCCGGCGAGGCCGGGAAGGGAAAGCATCGCTTGCGGGCTCGGGGTGGACCGTAGGCCCCGACTGCAGGGGCCGGGGTCCGGGCCGGCCCACCCCCATCCCTCTCCCCCACCCCTCCCCCGCCCGCAGCGCCGGCGCCCCTCCCCCCGGCCAGCCCCAGGTTAGGGAGCGTCCGCACTTCTCCTCCCGTCGGTCCGGCCGGCACTCGGCCTTCTGTGCCGGGTCAGTTCATTGGGCGGATTCGACGGACGCCCCGCCCAGGGCCCCGAAATGGCCAATTGAAAGGGGTTTCATAGGGCGCCGCACTCGGGGGATCGTCACCGTCCTGCGACGCTGCGGGGGATCTTTAGGCCTCAGTGGCCTTTGCCCCCCGGCCCCGGGCCCTAGCCCCCAGGAGACCTCCGGGACCCGTGCCCGGAGAGGTGCCCGCGGGGCATCCGCGGAGCCCTTGGAGATCTCGGCCTCCCACTCCCCGCGAGGCTCGCCGGCGTGTCCTCGAGTGGACGCGCGCGTCGCGAAGGGGAGTTTGCAGACGCTCCCTCACATCGGGGACGCGGCTCCTTTAAGGGAGCAGGTGTCCGGGACGCCGCCTGACTGGAAAGCCGCCCCCGGGCCGGGCTCCCCAGCGGGGCCCGGGGCGCGGGCGCGCGGCGGTGGGGCGCAGGCGGCGGGTGGCGCGCGACGGAGCCGGCGGCGCGGCTCCTGGGGCGGTGGCGGCGGCGCGCGGGGCAGGCGCGCGGCGGGCAGCTCCCGCAGGCCCCGCCCGCGCCCCGCCCGCGCGGGGTCCTCGGAGCGCTCGGGCTGCGCGCGGAGCGGGCTCGGGAGGGAAGTCCCGAGACAAAGGGAGCGCCGCCGCCGCCGCCTCGTCCGCCTCGCTCGCCGGGCCGCGGCCGCCCGAGGTGAGCACGGCCGGGGGGGCGGCGGCAGCGTGCGGGCGCGGGGCCTCCGCCGCCGTCGGGCCTGGCCCGGCGGGCGCCCCGTCCGCCCCGGCCCTGCGGCCCCGACTCGCCGTCGCCGCGCGCCCGGACCCCCGCCCCGCCCGGCTGGCCCGCGGCGCCGCGCCCGGGAGTCGGCCCGCCGGAGCCCTGAGGCCCGAGCCTGCGGCCTCGGCGGCTCGCGGCCCCCTGCGCCCGGCCTGGCTCGCGGCCCGGCCCCGGGCTCCCATCACTTTCCCTTTGGAAGGCGGGAGAGCGCGTGCTGGGCCGCGGGGCCCGAGGGGCTCCGGAGAGCGGAGAGCCGCGGCCAGTGTTGACAGGCGCCGGGCCGGAGGGCGGCCGCCCCGCCGCGGATCCGCCTCCACCGGGGAGGCTGGTTTCCGGGGTCACGGGACTGCGCGCAGACCTGTGGCGCTCTGCAGCGGGGGGACAGTGCGCGGCACCGGGAGTTAAAAGTCTTGGATGGCAGAATCGCTGGCTCGGGGGGTGGGGTGGGGGTGTCTGATGTCTGAAAATCACAACAAGCGTGAGTTTTCTTGCGCCTCTGAAGAGCTCCACCTGCAGTTGGTGGGACACTGAACATGGGCGCTTCACTCGAGGGAGAGTTTTCTTTCGGAGGTTGCTTTGTACCAGTTGAGCGGAGGTTGGAACTGGTAGTTACGTGAGTAGGAGGAAGGGAGGGGATGATTAGCTGCGTTCACCGTCCCGGCCTGTCGTCGCCCCGGAATCACTGTATTAGCTGGTTTGGGTTGTATGATTTGAAAATAGGCTTAGTTCCTCAGTTTGCAAAGTTACTGTTACTGTATTTGCAAAGTTGGCTATTTGTTTGTTTCCTTGTAAAGACTGTTACCCTCATGTTTCTTGCTATTAAGGAAACACAGCCTCTGGGTTGAGGACCTATCCGGCAGAAAAGGGACATGGGTTCTAAGTTTGTCCTGATTTGCTTGCCGCCTTTTGGGGTGGTTTAGGGGTGAAGTCTGCATGCTGTTGTGCTTTTGACTGGTGAGTCTTAGGGTTTGGGACTTTGCTTCAGAAACAGCTCGGGGTCCTGGGAGGTATGTCTGGCAAGAAGAGGAGACCTGCAGGGTGCTGGGGTCAGGAGAAGTGAGAGCCTTCCCCTTGGAATCTCCCTTGGGGGAGTTCGAGTTTGGGTAGGAAAGGCCCTTCCAGGGCTTTGAATCCAGTATCAGTTTCATCGTGGGCAAACCTGTGAGGTCATAGTCCGTCACCTGTTTTACAGATGGAAAAGTTGAGGTTGGGGTAGATGAGCACCTTACCGCCCTCATGCAGCCAGTAAGTAGCTCTGAGGTCTGTGCTGTCAGCCAGCAGAGCGTGATTTGAGAAGAGCAGTTTAAGTACAGCCCACCCTGGGGGCCCTAGAGTGCGTTGGAGGGCAGGCCCCGCTGCTTTGCCTGAAGACCTTTATCTTTGCATTTTGTAGCTTTGTTGCTCTGAAGTCTCTGGGGACACTTAACTGCTCCTTAAGTGCCCCTGTTAGTTGGGGAAGAAGATTGCATTTTAAGTGGGATTCTGAAGGAGTGTTTCTGTGTTGTAATTAAAATGTAACAAATTGGCTACTTTCTCCTGGACACCAGGAGGCCAGTGGGAGTGGAAGCATCCTCTTGGGACCACACCTAGGCCTGGGACGGTGCAGGTGTGCACCTGTGGCTCTTTGTCCTGGTGATGGAGCCCGTCTTTTTGATGCTGTCCCAGCTCAGACTTGTGTAGGATCTTGCATCTCACTTCCACAACTGCTTGTATTGGTTGCTGAACTTCTGTGTTTATTAGTGCCGCAGGGCTGGGCTGCCAGCCCGTACTGTCTGCTTTGCCGTGGCTGGGGGTGAGGGACCTGCTGCAGAGACCATTCTGTGTGTGCCCCTCCGGTGGGGGAAGCTAGCGGGCAGGGGGCAGGAGGACTTTGGGGGCTAGTATGTGCTGCGCCCTCAAGCCTCCAAAGGAGGGGTGTTGCCGTTGGGGATGGCGATGAAGCTGGGTCCTTTCATTTGGCAGAACTGGTTGAAGTGACGGGTTTGAGAAACTTGTACAAATGCAGGACGTTCAGCCGTAGCCTCTGGCCTCGCAGCTAGTCATCCCAGAGAGATCCTTAAAGACAAGCCAGCTGGGGCTCTCCTCCGCCCCGGACCTTGCCAGCTTCCCACCTTGCTGTGCAAGACCGGGTCCTCACAGTGGCTTACCAGGCCCTCATGGTCAGTGCCCAGGCTCCCCGCCCCCACTGGCCCACGCGGCTCGTCTGTTCCTGACCATCCTGCCTGATTTCTGCAGGCTGGGCTCGAGTGGCCTACCCAGCCACCATTTGAAACCAGGGTGCCTCCGTATCCCCAGTGTGTCGCCATCCCATGGTCCTGCTGTGGACCTCCAGGCACCCAGCGTTTCCCAGCATGGGACTTACTCTCGTGAACTCCGGGCGGCAGTGCTTGTCTGCTTCCTGGCTGCTGGCTCCTGATTTTGTGTTGCAGGAAGAACTGGGTATTCCAGACAGACGTGCCCTCCAGGGAAGGAGACCCTGGGTGGGTGTGAGCTTCAGTGGTCACATCACACCCCGTGGGACGTGGGCAGAGCAGAATTCTGGGATGGGTGGTGGCGAAGAGAAATTCAGTTGGGTCCAAGCTTGGCATTACCTACTTTGTACTAATCTCGAGGTCGGGTAAGGTCAGAGTCTTTTAAAAGGTGCATTCTGGGGTCAGAGCATGGAGCTGGGGGCCGGGCCCTGAGTTGGTTCATCTGTCTCTTGTCGCATGACAGCCCTGCTTCCCGACTGGAGGCCTTTGATTTTTGACTATCACTTTCTCATGACGACATAGGTGTACACATTTCTTGAAAATGCAGCACATCCGCCTGGTCTGGGGTTTGTAGTAACTTGCCCAGCTGGCTGAGCCCTGGGCTCTTGGTGGCGCTGCGATGGCAATCCCAAACCCCCCCTTTCCACTTTGCCGGCTTCTTGGGAAAACAGTCATCTGAGACTGCCCAGAACGCAGACCCTGCCCGGAGTTCCTGGGAGGGGGCACCCAGGTGATGCGCCTGCCCAGGACCACACTGGGAGTGGCTGTACTGCAGGGGTGGAGGGCTGGCCCGTCTGGTCTACTGCTGAACTGTTGACCTCACCCCTCCTGCACAAACGGGGACTGTTTGTGTTGTCTGGGGCTTGGGGGCGGGACGGCCAGGTGGGGGGGTGGCGGGGAGAAGGTGCGGTGGGACTGCTGAGGCAGTTGTGGGTCAGCCTGCGCGGCACTGGGGAGGCCGCGGGAGTAGCTACAGGAGGGGAGTGGGGGGCGGAGGGGCCTCCAGCGGGTATCTTCAGTGTTTCCATGGACTTTGAAGATCAGCAAACACAGGGTCTGATTCTTGGGCAAGTTTTATGACTTCTGAGGGTCTGCTGTGTGCTGCTGGGTAAGTGGCCCCCGAGATGCTGCTTCACCTGCAGGAAGCTCGAGACGGCGCAGGCTGAGGGCTCCGGGCCACTGATTTGAACGGCTGAAGGCACCAAGCCTCGAGGGTCTCTAGTCCCAGGGGGCAGGGGCCATGGTAGGAGAAGCCTGACATCCAGGAATGACGGGCGTGTGAGCACCCCTCCCACGGTGCACTGGGGGGCAGGTGGGCCGGGCCCTCGGAGGTGTCTTCCGCTTGTGCATGGCACTCCATGCTAGCCTGTTCGCCCTTTCATTGACTTTCCCAAAGTAAATAGGAGACAGGCCTTGATCTGTTCATTGTTTGTGGGGTGCCAGCAGGTCCTAGGGTGAGGCTGTGGGACGTGAAGGTGGAGGGGGCGGAGAAAGGAGCCTGGGGCCCTGGTGACACTTGGGTCTGTTGGATGCTGGGGCGTGGAGCCATCTCTGCACTTGGCCACAACTCTCTGCCCTGGGGCACTTTTCCGCTGGGTGGCCTTTCAGGGATAAGGGTTATCTTCCTGACTCGACCCGAATCTGAATTCTGAGCCCCTGATTCTAAGCTGGGGGCCTGATAGCACCCCCACATCCCTGCACTAGCAGCAGGGAGCGCTCCATGACTGCCCCTCCTGGGTCTCGGGCCAGTGCTCTGGATGTCCCTACCTTGTCTCTGCTGTTCTGCGGAGTCTGATGACAGCATTGGGATCCCTGTCCCTCTAGCCCACTGCCACGTGTGGCTGAAGAGGGCGGGCCAGATGGGCAGGTGTCTGCTGGAAGAGCTCGGTGTCCCCTCCCCGCACAGCACCTAGCAGCTGTGTGGCTTCGCTTCTCTGAACCTCTGTCACCATGAAACAGAGGCCACGGCGTGTGCCATGGAGCCCTGGGGGTGGGAGGCAGGCAGACAAGGCGCCCCACACGGAGGTGTTCCGGCAGGCCCAGGGCTCAGGAGTAGCCGGCTGCCTCTTCCCTGGTGAACCCCCTGCGGGAGGAGGGTGGGGCCGGGTGTGGGGTGAAAGGACCAAGGGAGCCAGGTGTGCCCTTTCTCATCGCACACTCTGCCCTCTCTTCCAGGGACTTTGAATATGTCGGGGATCGCCCTCAGCAGACTCGCCCAGGAGAGGAAAGCTTGGAGAAAAGACCACCCGTTTGTAAGGAAAGCTTTATTTCTGCGCGTAGCACAGCAGACGAGGCCTGCCAGCCCGGGGCCATTGCCTCTGTGCGGGTGGGTGGTGGGCCACAGGCTCGTACCCTGGGTGGGTAGAATGAGACACCGTGGTTGATATGCTGTGTGGTGGTTTTCTCCCAGGGTTTTGTGGCTGTCCCAACAAAAAACCCCGACGGCACAATGAACCTCATGAACTGGGAGTGCGCCATTCCAGGAAAGAAAGGGGTAAGAGACCCGCGGCCACACGCTCCCACCGCTTGTTGGTTTCAAGCAGCAGGACAGAGCAACAGAAGTTCGAGTGTGTGTGACATTCACGATGGTCATGCGGACCCTGGGGGACGTAAGATGGGGGGACAAGGTTAGGGTGATATGTGACCCCCTCAGGTATGGGGAGGTATTGCTCCCACGCAGCACCTGCTACCTCTTGGGACCACAGGAGCCTTGGGGGTGGGGTGGAGAAGGGTCTGGAGGAGCCCCGCGGGGCTCCGGGCTGGGCCTGCAGGGTGTGCTGGGGCTGCAGCAGCCCAGACGCCGTGGTGCTCCTGTGGGGGCGTCTGAGCCTGGGGCAGCTGCACATCCTGAGATGGCTGCCTGCCTGGGGCCCCGTGTCCTCCACGCACTGGCCAGTCCTGCCCCCGGGGTTGCCTCCTCAGCTCCCCCGAGGGTGCCTGGGCCAGTTAGGACCAGCGCACTTGAGTGTGAGAGTCCCCCATGAGCCCACATACAGCTCTTTCCAGGTGACTCCAAAGGAAGGAGGATGCCCCCAAGGTGCCTGGGTTACACTGGAGGCCTCAGCACCTCACTCCCCCCACCCATGGTCTGTTGTGACATCACGCAAGCTCAGCCTCAGTGCTTCCTGGCAGTCTCCTCCCCCTGCACTAAGCCGTGGGATTAGGACTGCCTTTGTCCGTGAGGTGATGCGGTTGGCTTTACCCTTCGTCTGAGGCTCTGCTGAGGCCCAGTGTGCACCCTGCCTTTGCTAAGCCCATGTTTGGCCCCTCGTCTTAGGGCAAGGCAGGTGTGCTGTTGCCGCCTCTCTCCCAGGGCGTGTTGGATTGTGGTACTGGGAGGCTGCCTGGGGACAGGTGGGACCTGAGGGAGGGGCCTCCCAGAATGTCACTCTAAAGCGGCCACTCTAGGGGAACAGGTACACACTGAGTTCACTCAAGTCCTCACCCCACTCCAGAGTCAGAGGGGCCAGCCCTCCAGGGGCCTGTTTTCTCAGAATCCCAGCTCCTGCCCTGCCCCTCCCAAAGGAGCACACGTTCCAGCTCACACTAAGGTCCCCAGAGTCCTGTTGGTGGGGACACTTGGGCTGCTCGCCTCTGTGGGGTCCTCGCAGTCCAGGGGGCTCTGCCGCAGAAGCGACTCCATCCTGCTCCCGGGCCCAGCCAGCAGCGCCCCTAATCGCAGTTTTCTCTCCCACAGACGCCGTGGGAAGGAGGACTGTTTAAGCTACGGATGCTTTTCAAAGACGATTATCCGTCCTCACCACCAAAATGTGAGTAGACCAAGGTTGTAGAAAGTCAGTCTGCCTTAGTTAGCCACGTTCCGGCTCAGATGTGAAGTCCTCCTCAGAGAGCCCAGGCCTCCTGGGGTGTGGCTTTTGTCATGCTCTGCTCCAGGGGGAGGCTCCAAGCCTGTGATCCCTGCACTGGCTGTGGATTCAAGTCTGTTTCTAGCCCCAGCGGTGGGAGGTGCACTTAACAGGCTAATCTCTCAGATCCCGGCTCTGATCCACTGCCAACCTCCTGGCCCTCGGTGCCCGTCGGGGATGAGGTGCCACCGCGTCTCAGCCTGGGGAGGGACAGACTTGCAGAATGACCGCCGTCCAGAGTGTCACCCTTAGAGGGTTTGGTTTGCCCTGACCTGCACCAGCCCATCTGTTGTCTGTTAGAACTGCATGTGCAGCCTGGACGGAGGGGCATGGAAGCCCCCAGAGAAGGGAGCAGGCTGGAAAGGCCGAGCCGTGTTGGAAATGGTGCTGCTGTCAGCCCATCCTGACGCAGCTCAGCAAATCTCAGGAGGGGCAGGGCCCCGAATCCCTTACCTTCTGCAGCTGGAAATCCACATAGACTGTCCACAGCAGGTCAGTTAAGTGAGTTACCACTCCCCAGCCTGTGGCACTGGTGAGGGAGCCTCTGTCGAGGTCTGCCCTCCTGCTCGGGATTCAAGTGGCAGGGGCGTGTTTCCATCACAGTGGCGTCTCCCAGGAGAACTTTCTTTCTTTCTTTCTTTCTTTAATTAAGAGAAAAATCAGATGAATTGTGGCTCCTCTCGTCACTTCTGCTCAGTGTTGTATCGGGGTTCCAAGCAGACACAGCAAGGCAAGGAGAAGAAGGGTGGGGCAGGAGGACTGAGACCGGGTGGCCTTCCTCTCAGTCCGCTTAGTAAGGTTGCTGGATGAAAGATTAATATATGAAATGTATTTTTGCATAATTGCGATACGTAAAAGATTTCAAAGTAAACCATTTACAATCATATCACATACCTTGGAATAAATCCAGCAAAAGACGTTCAAGAGCTCTATACTAAAAACTGAGAAAGGCTTCTGAAAGAAGGTGAGGCAAGCCTGAATGCCTGGCGGTGTGGGCCACGGTTACAGGTCGGAGGACACGGTGTTGTGAAGACGCCAGGTCTCTCCAAGCCGCTCTGCAGGTTCATTGTCATCCCTGTCAGATCCAAGCAGGTTTTTGAGGAAGTTGTCGCGCAAACTCTAAAATACGGGAAATGCAGAGTGTTGAGAATAGCTGTGGCCTTTGGGGTTCCAGGAGGGAAGGGCTGTGAGGCTCGTTGGCTAATGAGTGCCCAGACCCGGTAGCAGGACGGGCAAGGCGTAAACCAGGTGGAGACCTGCTCCAGAGGCACGGTCCTCGAGCTGCGGATCTGCAGAGCGGAGTCCAGAGGCACCACAGGCGTGTGGCGGCCTGGCGTGTGACGCAGGTGATCCTGTGGTGCAGGGGAGAAGGTGGTATCTAACAGATGGACTAGGTCAACGGAGTATCCCGTGGAGAAAGAGAACTCCATCTCTGTCTTCTGCCATAGACAAAAGCCTTGCAGACGAGTCGTGGTGCCCAATGGAGAGGTGGAACAGTACAGCTTTTAGAGGAAGGCGGGAGGATATCTTCATGACCTGGGTAGCCAAAGATTTCTTAACCCGGGAAGTACAGAAGGTGCTTTTTCCCCCATAGGGGAAAACTGATCAATTGGACTACATTGGAATTAAGACCATCTCCCACCAAAAGACACCAGTGAGAGTGAAGAAGAGAGAAGATTGTGTAAACACATCAGTATTTATCCTGAATATATCAAGAGCATCTACAAATCAGTAAGAAAAAGGCAAACAATCATTAGATTGAACAGGCTCTTCACAAAAGAAGCTCTCCTCTTGGCCAGTCGGCATAGGAAAAGAAGCCCAGCTTCTCACCAGAGAGTCCCAGATTATGATTGCAGAGTGGATGAGCAGGCCACCGGGGCGGGGGGATGGCGCAGGGCAGCGCACCTCAGGTGCTTGCTGGAGAGCGTGCAAATTTTGAAAATTTCCCTTAGAAAGCCATCTACTGTGTCTACCAAAGCTAAAGTTTTGCCTCCCCCGGGCCTTGGCTCTTCCACTCAAGTAAACATTCAGTAGAAGTGCATCCACATGCTCACCAGAAGGCACAGGCAAGGATATTTGGGACAGCCCCGTCTGTAGTGGCCAAAAGCTGGAGACAGTGTGAGTGTCCGTTAACAGTAGACTGGGTAAATAGATGGCGGGTCTGCAGCAGCAAGGAGGAAGGACGTCCAGGGACGCACGGCAGCAATGAATCTCCTGAACTGATGTTGAGTGGGGAGCCAGCAAAGGAGTTCGTGCCGGATTCCTCTTGAAGGCCAGTAGGCCATGTGATGGGCAGTGTTGGAGGTCAGGAGGGTGACCTTGTTGGATAGAGGGAAGCCAGCGGGTGACTGGAAGTGGGGATGGGGGGCTTGGTGGATGCGGGTATTCATCCTTCGTGCACTTTTCAGGATAAGAAACAAGATAAGTCAGATTAAATTAGGAACTTATGTTCATCAAAAAGTACAATTAAAAGAGCAAAAGGCAAATTCAGAGTTGGAGAAGATATTCGCAAGACATTTAACTGATACAGGGCTTGTATCCAGAATATATAAAGAGCCCCTACAGATCAACAACAGACAACTCAGTGGGAAAATGTGAAGAGACTTGAACAAGAACTTCTCCAATGAAGGAGCAGGTGCGGTGCATGAATGAAAGGAAATGCATATTAGAACCACGAGAGGCAGCCACTGTTCATCGAACTTTGGTGGCTGAAGCTCCTGACCGACACCACCGGGTGTAGGCAGAGTTGTGAAGCAGTGGGAACTCAGCCCCTGCTGGTGGGATGTAAGTTGGTAGAGCCGCTGTGGAAACCGGCAGTGTCTGCTCAAGTGCTGCAGACACCTGTGACCCAGCGTTTTCACCTAGACATGCACGTGCCTCAGAATTCACACGTAGGAACCTTCACAGCTTTGTTCGTAATAGCGCACGTGTGTGCCTGCCGTGCGCTGGCCAAGCCTGTGGGGCGCCCACTCGCCCAGTGGACGCCCGTGCAGCAGCCGGAGTGAGTGACCACAGCACTTGCAGCGACACGTGTGACCCACGAGAGCAGAGCAAGGAGTCCTTGTGCAAGTCTGTGTGTGCAGCCGAGGAGTCCTCGCTGGGGTTGTAGGTTGGGACAAGGGTGAGCGGAGTGGGCGGTGTCTGGGGAGTTTTCCGGGAAGCCGTTGGTGTCAGTGGGTGTGTTCGCTTTTTGGTAGTTGGTCAAGTTGTACTAGATTTGCTGCACTTTTCTAGTATAACTTAATGTTTAAAAATAAAGGGAAAAGTACCCACATAAAAGGTGGGAAATGTACTAATATGTCAGCTGTGGTCAACAGTCTCTGGGTGGGGCTAATGGCAATTTTTTTCTTGCTCTTTCATATTTTCAAATTTTCTACATGTATTCTTTTTTTTCCTTAAGATTGGCTCTGGGCTAACATCTCTTGCCGATCCTTCTTTCTTCTTCTTCTTCCCCCCCAAAAGCCCCCCAGGCCATAGTTGTATATTCTAGTTGTAGGTCCTTCTGGCTCTGCCACGTGGGACGCAACCTCAGCATGACCTGATGAGCCGTGCCAGGTCCACGCCCAGGATCGAACTAGTGAAACCCTGGGCCACCAAAGCAGAGCATGTGAACTCAACCACTCGGCCAGCCCCTACATGTATTCATGTTTTAAAAAGAAAATAAACTTTTAAAAAAAAAAAAGAATGCAAGAGATCCTAAGAGCTTCTGTTTTTGAAGCAGGGTGGCCTGCTTTGGAAGTGGCCGCTTACATGGAAAGGGTGTGACTGCCCAGGAGCTTCCTCCACGGCTGCGGCAGCCCCTCCTCATCTTGCTGAGTCCAGGCCGGCTGGGGGGATGTCGGGGAGGCCGTCCTGGGGCCCCGTGCTCCAGCTGCCTGCCATCCCGGGGCAGGATCCTGGGGAGGGACATGGCTTCACACCAAGTCAGAAGGGCGCACGCTTGTACCACTCTCACCTCCTCCCACCTTGTGGCCACATTGGTTTTACTCTTAATGGTTCTTGGCCAAATGTCTGGTGACCAGAAAGGTGCCCAGCAGAGGGGATGGGGCATTGTTGGGGAAGGCATGATTCTTAGGACAACAGCTGCCGCAGAAAACATGTTTTCTTTCTTCTCTGTGGTCCAGGCAAATTTGAACCACCATTGTTCCACCCAAATGTGTACCCTTCGGGCACGGTGTGCCTGTCCATCCTCGAGGAAGACAAGGACTGGCGGCCAGCCATCACGATTAAGCAGGTACGCAGCGCCAGGGGCTGGCCTCGACCCTCCTCCGGGACCAGAGGACTGCGGTCGTCAGTATCTGAGGCCGACGTCCTGGAACTGTGCCCTTCACACTGCTGACCTCCCCCTGCCTTGTTTATGTCTTTCACACAGATCTTACTAGGAATACAGGAACTTCTAAATGAACCAAATATCCAAGATCCAGCTCAAGCAGAGGCCTACACAATTTACTGGTTAGTAGCGGTCTCGTCCTGCTTGCCACGACCTCTCGTCAGCTTGCACGGCCTTTCCTGGAAGTCCGGTCAAGGCTGCCCGTAAGAGGGGAGCGGCAGGCAAGCTATGAGTTGGGGGACAGTCCTTGCCGCTCCTGGCAGCCTGGGAGGGAGGGAGGCCCTGAGACTCGAGCTCACGCGGGTGGCAGCCGGGGTCAGCACTGCGAAGGGGAGGCATCCGAGGAGGAAGCGGCCAGGGCAGGCTGTGTCGGCAGTTGGAGCTGCGTGCGCAGGGGGCCTGTGGTGGCAGGAACGGGTGGCCAGAGCTGATGTGGCAGGAGTGTCATCGAGGGGCGTGCAGGAGGCACAGAGGTCAGGGGACATGGGCTCCTGTTGGCCACTTGGCCCCTTGATGAGCTATGGCCAGGCAAATCCGGTGCCTCAGTGAGCGTAGGAGGTGTGTCCAACAACCTGGCTCTCCCAGGGACCCCAGACCACGGCCCCCTCTGCTCCTCTTCCTGGTCCACCTGGGTGTGGTGTCTCCCATGGGCGTGGTCCAGTGGGGTGTGGCACTCCTGGCTTGCTCTTGGTCACCCAGTTGCTGTGACATCCCCACCCAGGAGCTGGGCATCCACTTCACGTCCCAGCCCTGTCATGCGTGACACTGCGGTGGCCAGGTGAGTCCTGTGGTCCCGCGTCCACTGTCCATACTGAAGGAGGATGGCCTGGTGCAACTGAGGTGAACGCTGGTTAAAGATGGCACTGTGCGCTTGGCTGAGTGGACAGTGGGGATGACCCTGGCCCTGTGGCCAGCCTCCTGGGCTGGTCTGGTGGGGGCCTTACACCAGCTTGGGGACTCTGACCCCCGCTATTCAATCTGCCCACAGTCAGGAACCTGGGTCCCAGGGGGCAGATCCACAGGGGAGAGGGTGGCAGGGCCTGTTCCTTCCACGAGGGTGTTTCTGGCATTGGAGCTGGTCAGCGGGTGAGCGCTGAGGCTGGAACTGTCCTCGGGCCATTCTGAGCAGCGGGCACGCAAGCGCCCTGAGTCCAGCTGAGAGGAGCAGTGCCAGGGTGCAGGAGATGGAGCACCTCCAGCCGCTGGCCCCGGTGGCTTGGGGTCCCTGAGCCCAACCCAGGTGTTGGTCAGGTGCGCCCCCTGGTGGCTAAGGTGGCAAGACGCTCCTGGGCAGGGGCCAAGTTCATGTGCCTGCACCCCCGGCACCCACAGCAAGTCCCGCCTTCTACCTGGCTGCCCCCACTTCAGACTTCAGTCTCCTCTGTGAGACCCCCAGCCAGCGGGGCACGGCTGTCAGTGATGGTGGAGCTCCACTTCAATCTGTGCGTGCCCCATGGCTGCTGCACACCAGCCACTCTCCCCCCTTGACCCTTGGGCTGGGTGCTATGTGGTTTCTGCCACAACATCTGTCTGCAGTGGGCCTGGTGGCCCGTGCTGCTTTGTAAATAAGGCTGCTTGGTCTACACTGTCTGAGCTCAGCCGTTGGGCGGAGAGCACGAGGCCTGCAAAGCTGCAAGCGTCCCCTCTGGCCTTCAGAGAGCGTGCCGGCCCCGGTGTGCATCGGGTGTGGACGTGATGCCCTCGTGCTGGGCTGTCCTGAGTTTTCTGTGGGTTTGATGGCACTCCTGTGGCGCCGTGTGCCCAGCTGTCGGTTGTGCAGCTCCAGCCTCGCTCAGGGCTGGGACCATCTTCATGTGAGCATCCACTTTAAAGCCCCTTCTGTGAAACATGCTTGAAGAGTTCAGATCTCTTTTCTCGCGTTTCTGGAAGGTCGCAGGCCGTGTCCCACACTGCCAGGTGCCCCAGCGGCCCGTCCTGACTTGGTAAACGGCAGTACCGCACTTGGCTGCCTCTGCTCCTCCTGCTTGCTCCTTCCAGAGCCCTCCATCCAACTGCCGTCTGCCCTGGGGCCTCATGTCTGACACGGCCCCTTCCGGAAGCTTCCCTCAGAGGGAGCTGGGTTGCGCACAGACTGTCCGCAGCATGGCCCGGTGGCCGACGCTACTCCTGTGGCCTTCGCTCCCCAGAGGGGCCGGGCGTCGTGCTGACACTGGCCTCGGGCTAGTGTGCGCCTTGGCGCTGTGCCAGCACAGGGCACGCTCGGGCAGGTTTCCAGCCTCTCCCGGCGAGGAGGGCCCTGGGGCACAGAGCCGTCGTCGGTGCTGGGGTGGAGCTGACGGAAATCCTACGGTGGCCCTTTGTCCCACAGCCCCGTTCCCAGGCCGCAGGTGACGGCTGTGCTGAGGGCTGGGAGCCCCGCTCCGAGAGGCCGCGTGCTTGTTGGGAGCCTGGGCTCCGAGGAGGTTCCACACCAGCCCTGAGGTGCTGGCCGAGACCCTGACCCACCGCAGCAAGGAGCCCTGTCCCTAAATGTCATCGTGTCCCGTTGTTTGCAGTCACCCTGATCCCCCAGCCTTGGCAGCGCATGCTGCCCCTTCGGCCCCCTTTTCCCAGGTGGCACTTTTCATGCTGGTGTCCCAGCCGAGGTCCTGCCCGACCTCCGCACCTGGCGCTCAGGACCAAGAGCCCTACGGGGAAAATACCAGAAGTTTGTGTCTACTTTGAAGCAAAGGATAGTGCCGAGCGATCTACCTTCTTTCCCAAACGATGCTGTTTGAAACTTAAAGAGGAAGCCCCTGGTCACTGGTTACACAAGTGGACTTCCAGCCAGGCTGCACCTCACGGCGCCCACAGCGCAGGCCTGTCGCCCAGGCCCTACTGGGCCGAGGCGCCACCCGGCAGGCAGCCTCTGTCGTCTCTGCACCCGGGACCCCGGGGCCTGCCAGGCAGGGGACAGTGTCTGGCTGCGGGCTTCCCGGTGCAGGCCCCGTGGGCCGCAGCCCCTTCTAACGTGTCTCTCTCTTGACCCCTCAGCCAAAACAGAGTGGAATACGAGAAGAGAGTTCGAGCACAGGCCAAGAAGTTTGCACCCTCATAAGCAGCGACCTCGCGGCATCTAAAAGGAAGGGATTGGTTTGGCAAGAACTTGTTTACAACCTTTTTGCAAATCTAACGTTGCTCTGTACAATTACTAGTCACCGGGGGAGGGTTGGACGGGCGCCATTTTCCATTTCCGCCACTGGTACACAGTTCTCGACTCGCTGAATTGCCCAGATTTTCATACAGGGTCTCTTCCTTCAGTCTTTTGTATTTTTGATTGTTATGTAAAACTTGCTTTTATTTTAATATTGATGTCAGTATTTCAACTGCTGTAAAATTATAAACTTTTATACTTCGACGAGCCGCCAGCGCTCGGTGCCCGCTCGCGGACGCGGCATGCTTCTCCCGGTCAGCTGCGCGGCCCCAGCTGGCTGCATGAGGAAGGACCCCGCCTGGCCGTCCCGCCGCACCGTTCTCTCTGCAGAACCCGGGTTGTGTTGCTTACGAGCCCCAGATCCAAAGTCAGCCAGCGCCTCGTCTCCGCATCACTTCCTTTGTGTTTATATGGCGTTTGTCTGTGTTGCTGTTTAGAGTAAATAAACTGTTTATATAAAGGTTTTTGTTGCATTATCATCATTAAGTGTGAGGAGGCGGCCAGGCTGCCCGGCCCTCCCCGCTCGGCTGCAGGCCCTGCAGAGCACCAGCCTCGGCCTGAGCACGGCTCACTGTCTGCACTTTGGGTGCGCCCAGGCCCTGTGTTGCGCTCGTCCTGGTCCTTTGTAAATAATGCTGTGTACAGAGACGGTGTGTGTCCAGGGTTTCTGTCCCCCGCCCGAGTCTTTGGGCCGTAGGGTGCTAGAGAGTGCAGATCTAGTCACATTGGAGTTGGTGTCGAGACCCTTCCAAAGTGCGCCCGGGCATTTAGGAGGATGAGGTGCCTAAATCCAGGCCAGGTCGAGGCCGTGAGGACCATGTCCAAGCAGCTCACCCTCAGTGCCCAGCGCAGGCCCCTGGAGGTGGCTGGGCCACTGCAATGGCGCCTTCCCCATGGGTGGGGCATGCGGCCTCCTCCCGTCTGGCAGTGCGTTGCTGGCCCAGGCCTCAGTGGCTGCCCTCGGGCCTCTGCATGTCGTGGCCACAGCCTTCCCATGCTCACCCCGTCAGCCTCCACCCCTTGGCGCGGGTGGTCCCTGGCGCCAGGACACCCTGAAAGCAGCTGTGAGGGCCACTGTCCACACACTCTTCCTCTTTCTTGAACCATTCTGATCTTGGGCTGCCCACGGAAGCCACTGTCCTCAGAAAGTGGCCCGGACCCTGAGCCCACTGCAAGCCTCCCAGAGCTGCTGGCTGCTCTGGTGGGAAGTGGGCCTGGGGCCCGGCTCAGCAGGGAGGTGCCATATGGAGACAGGAAGTAGCAGAGGGGGACAGGCCCAGTGTCCCACATCCCAGCCTTGGTGAGGTGGGTACCTGGCCTTCGTTCAGGTACCAGAAGCACAGTGCTGACCAGACCGGAGGCCTGGAGCCAGCCTGCACCAGTTGGCCTCACCCTCCCACCCTGAGGACCCTTATTGTTGGAACTGAGTGGCCTGTGGCTCCACCCCGAATGAGGAGGGTGGTAACCCCCAAAGGGGCGAGAGGGCTGGTGGTCCTTGGCTTGCCCCAGGAACCTGCAGCCCTCAAGCTGTCAGCACCTGGTGGCCCCAAGGTCCCTGTGCCTTGTCCCTTGCTCAGCGGGACGTGTGTCGGTTGCTGAGCTCTCGGTTGGATGTCCATGATTTATTTCTAACGCAGAGGGCCTTACGGGGGTTCAGCGGGCGTGTGTTTGTACCCTCTCCCAGAATGTCTTATTTTGTAATGACTGACTACACTTAGAAATAGTTACACATGTATATGGTTAATATATATGGAAATTCAATCTATTTTCTAGTTAAAGCATTCTGAAGTAACTGATGTTTCTAGCAAACTGTCGTGACTTTGGCTAATGAAATGTCCTTTTGTGCCACAGTCCTTGGCTTAACAAAGATGTGATCTTGTAACACGAGAGCTATGAAATGTGATCATCCTGTTTCTACTGTAAGGGGAGAGAGTGTGTTCCCAGCATGAGGCGCCTAATAATTAGTAAGGAATTGTGGGCAATAGATTAACCACTGTATCTAAGAATCCTCTGATTAAAACATTTCCACAAACTGCCGCCTGAGGATGTGTCCTTCTGCCGCCCTGTCCCACCCGGGCCACCCCCCCAGCCCCGGGCCGCCGTGCCCAGGGGAGCCCAGGTGGCTGATCCCATGTGCCACCCAGAGAGGCTCCCAAGGCCACGTCCAGCCTCAGACCCACTGTGGCCTTCGGGGTTTGGGAGGGTGACAGCCACTCGAGCCAGGGTCACATTCCCTGCTACTGTCCCCTCTGAGACTGGGCACGGGCAACCGAGGCTGGGCGTGCATCCTGTGCTGGCCGCTGGCCCTGTCTTGCATCTCGCCTGCACCTCCCTGGCCTGCTGGAGCAGGGTCCACCCTCTGGGGACCTGAGGCTGTTCTCGCCAGCCGTGTGGGCCTCCTCAGGGAGCCAGGACACCATCCTCATGATGCCAAGGTGCACATGAGCCCTTGGTTCAGACTCTAACGGGGCCCCTGGGACAGTGTCCGAGACTGGCGGGGGCTCAGGCCAGCCATTGTGTAGGTGCAGAGCAAAGAGCCTGGCCTCGGGGCCCCCAGGGACCCGGTCGACAGGAATGGGCTGCTCAGCCTCCACCTCCTGAGGAACCACTCCTCGGAGCCTCCAGGTCGGTTCCTGGCCAGGCTGTGGGTCCCCTTGGGGCCCCCTGGACTGGCCCACTCAGTCCAGCATGGCGGTGTCACGCCTGCCCGCCTGCACCTCGTGCCCCGACTGGCAAGCCCGAGGCCTTCCTGCTGTGCATCAGACCCTGCTCAGGCTCTGAGCCGGGCAGCCTCTAGTTTGAGGTTGCCATGACGACAAGTTGCCAGGTTGGAGGGCCCAGCACTGACTTAGGCTGGCTCGAACCGGTCTGAGCTGGCTCCAGCAGGGAGGAGCCCAAGGAGTGCTGGTTGGGGATTTGTCCCCAGCTGACCCTGCTGCTGAGTCTGGGGGTGTCCCGCCTCAGGGGCCCAGGAGGCTCATCTGGAGGTCTCCATATGCTGTGACTCCGTCTGCAGAGGCCATGGGCCCGACGGAGGGGGCTGGCTCTGGACCATGGGGCCGGTTGGGGCTGGAGTGCTGGGTCCTATCCACCCTGCTGTCCCCAGACCCGAAGGGCTCTAGCATCTGTCAGGAGGTCGTTTTCCCTGAGCTCCTGCAGCAAATGAATGTCGCAGGGCTCAGGCTGGTCACTGTCCCCCCAGGCCTCTGCCCTTCCAGGTGACCCTTCCACCCCTCCTTCCAGGATGCCCTTCTGAGGAGAGGGGCCTGCTCCGTGCTCATGCTGCCCACCCCTCCAAGGGGGTCTTGCCTTTGAGAAAGGAATCTGGAGCCCCCAGAGCCGGCGACAAGGGCACCTCAGCCCCCAGTTGTGCAGAGAATGATGCTGGTGGAGGAGCTGCGTGCTCGGCCCACTCCCAGCTCTGCCTCCTGAGATGGCCCGCCCTTTGCCCCCTGGGCCCTTCACAAAGGGGTGAGTGCAGGAGGCGCCCTTGCTGGTAGGTGGCCCCTGGCACACTCACCCATGAGCCACCACCTGACGGGGAGGCCCAATGGACAGACAACTGATGGCGCTCTGTGGCCAGGTTGCCCTGGTCTCACAAAGAATTGCAAAGCCCTGTCTGGCCCTCACACTCCCCTGGGTCCCACACAAACCTCAGGTCTGAGGCCCGAGAGCACCCCAGCCTGGCGCAGGCCCCACCTGTCAGCTGCTAGCTACAGGACTCTCCCTGAGCTTCCCACTGCACCCCAGGAGCCAGCATCTCAGGCCAGGGACCAGACCTGGGGCCAGACCCCCTCCCACCTGGAGCGGCCTCTGCAGGCAGAACCACCCAGGATGGTGAAGGCCATGGGACAGGGTCCTCAGTCCTCAGGGTCCTCCAGCCCGGGGCAGGCGGGGACCCTGGCCCAAGTCTCTGGGCTCTGCCCCCACGGCTCCGTGGCCCGCCCCCCTCCCTGCCTCTGACCTGACAGCTGCTGGGGGCCCGGAGGGCGGTGGGAGGAGCCCGCTGCCAAGAGGCTGTGCCTGCAATTCCAAGGGCTGCCGCCAGGGGGCGCGAATCGCGCGTCACGAAAACCGTGGACGGCCACGTGGGCCTCCCCGAGCCGCCCCCGCACCTCCCGTGGGTGGACCCTGTCTCCCTGCGCTTCGGCAGAAATCACAGTGTTTGTTCAGAGCCTGGTGTTTTCCTCCCGGCCCTAAGGAGGAAAAGCCACTCCCCCTGCCTGCCAGATCCTTTCCTGCCCAAAGCTACCCAGTGTGCACCCCACCTCTCGCAGGCCAGCCCTGACCCCTCTAGGCAGGGTGTCTTGTGCCCTATCCCGCTGTGACATGGGCGCCCGCGCTGCCCCCTCACCGCCCGCCAAGCACGGCTCCGCCCGCATTCGGGGTCTGGGGCAGAGGGCCACGGTGACGCCTTCAGAGCCAGGTCTGGGCCACAGGCACCGCTGTGGGGCGGCCCGCCTCCCTCCCGGCTGTGGGGTCACACAAGGATGGGTTTCCACCCCCAGCCTATGGAGGCGGAAACAGTCCCTGAAGGAAAGAGCCTGTCCCCAAGTCCCTGGAGGTCGAGGCGGATGGAGGCCGCAGTTCCCACCCCCGTCGGCTGGAGGAGGGCGCAGCTGACGCTAACAAGCATCGGCTCCGCGAGACCCCCCGCTGAGGGGTGGGTGCAGGTGCTATCTGCATTTTACCAGTGAGGGAAACTAAGGCCCAGGCAGCGCGGGGAGTGGGGATGGAAGGGGGATGGGCCGACTTCAGTCTCAGAACAGATCGGGAGAATAAAGGGGTCGGCTAGGAATGGGACCATCGCTCCCTCCCGGGGAAGTGTTTGTGGAGGGAAGCCCTGGGGGTTATCCTTTCCTGGGGAAGCTGAGGCCCAAGGCTAAGTCCTGGACAAGCCCTTTCCCCCCTCTGGGCCTCAGTTTCCCTATCTGTAAGAGAGGGTGGTGAGGTCTCTGGGGGCCCTCTGCCCCAACAGGCTTCAGTATTCCTCTTAGGGCTGGTTCCTCTGCGCAATGCCACCGGTGCCCAGCCCCTCAGGGCCTGGGACAGGGGTGGGAGCAGGGGCCCCCTCCCTGGCAGCTGCCCCTCCTAACTTCCTGTTTACAGCAGCTGCCGAGTCTCATCTCTTCACCCCAAAGCCATTACGATCACCATGGCAACCAGGCCTGTGTTTGTGCCAACAGGTTGGCAGAACCTGACGCAAGACTGCGGGGCTGGGGGCATCAGCTCTGAGATCCCGGCTCAAAGCCTGCCAGCCCCCAGGGAAGGACATCAGCCCCCACCCCGATTCACGTCCCCTGCAGAAAGAAGCCAAGGGGCAGCTATGGCACCAGGTCCAGGTCCCCTCCCCTGTCGCCTGACTCATCTCTGTCCCAAGCAGTTTCCTGACATCCCCACCCCCATGTGCCTGGCTGTGCTGGGTCAGAATGGAAGCAGGGCCTGGGGGCAGAGCTTCTAGGAGGACCCACTCCGCCGTGCTGCACTTCTGTCCCCCAACCCTGCATTCTACCCCCCCACCCTGCATTCTGTCCCACCCCATCATGCATTATACCCCCCACCCTGCATTCTGTCCCCGGACCCTGCAGTGCTGTCTCCCCTCTACCCCAGTGTTTCTGGGGCTTGTCCTGCACAGAGACACTGGCTGCATGGATATGAGTGAGTCTGGATCTAAAAGTTGCGACAGGTGGTGGCCCCATCAGAGCAGTGTCTCCCCATCCTAGGGTGAGGGGAGAAGCACCTGGGTCTCCCTGGGCTAGGGAAGCTGGGCCATGCTTCCCCCCGCTCCCGCCAAGTAATGGGCAGTGCTGGGGAATGACAGGTGAGTTGTTTCCAGAGGGGGGGGCCTCCCTGCATGGAGCTGCTCTGGAATCCTGTTCCTCCAGCCTTTAGCCCTCCACTCAGCTCAGCTGACCCCTGGCCTACCCGGAGTGAACCATCCTTGTTTCCGGGCCTGAGCTGGAGTGGGTGCCAGGCCTTTCTGTTCCCCACGCTGCCTGGAGCCCCACCATTAGAGGTGAAGTCCTTTGTGGTGAAAGCTCCAAATCCCAGTCTGATCCCCCGAGTGTGTGGTGCTCTGAGGACCCAGCAGGACCAGCCAAAGGCAGGGCCAGGATCCAAGGACCCTGTGCCCCTCAGACAGGCCCAGAACCTCAGAGCCGCGCCCACAGTTCTGCACGTGTGTTGCCAGGACCCCAGGCCCACCAGGAGCTTGTTAGAAATGCAGATGGTCAATCTCTGCCCAGACTTTGGCGATCAGCGGGTCTGGGGCTGCCCAGCCATCTGTTTTAACAAGCTCTCCAGCTGGCCACTGTGCAGTGCACCACTCCAGTCCAGAACACTGCGATGGAGATTGAGGGGGGCACTGGCCCAGAGAGGGGGCCACGAGGGTGGGCTGGCAAGAGCCCAGGCCAGGGTGCAGCCCAGGCCTGGGGGTTCCAGCTGGCTGTGGCCTGGCACGTGGCACAACCTGGGCGTCGGGGCCCTCCCCTAGGCCATGGGCATGATCACCTCAACAGGTGGTCAGGGTTGTCTGGGGGTCCTGGGTTGATGTCTGCAGAACCCCCTCACCCGAGTGTGGACTGTCCCCTCTGAGAAGAGGGAGCAGTTAGGCCTGCAGTGGCACAGTCCCCAGACCCAGGCCGACTCCAGGTTGATGCTGGGGACAGTGCTGGGCTGGGAGGGCCACTCCCAAGACGGCTGCGCAGCCCTCCAGAAAAGTCTGCGCTGCGTGCCCCGCATGTCTTGCTGGTTTCGGTGACTCTGGCTTCTCTGGGGCCCCGGGGAGGGGGTCCTGACGCAGAGGGGAGCCTGCTCCCTGCTCGACACCCACCTGTGGGTGGACTGACAGCTCCGCGCCTCCCCCCCGGGGGAGGGGGCTCCCTGGCCAGGCCCCGGGGGCGCAGGGACCTTCGCCTGCCCCCTGGGCGTTGGGGACGCGGGGGCGGGGCGGGGGCGGAGCGAGCAGCCCAGGCCCCGCCCCCGCGCCCCCCGCCCGCCCCCGCCCCCGCCCCCGCGCCCCCCGCCCGCCGCGGCGCTCGGCCCCCAGCGCTCAGTCGTCGGCGCGCGCGGCTGCGAGCGGTCGGGCTGCCTCGGCGTCCCCCGAGCCGCGCCGAGCGCGGCGCCCCCAGGAGCCCCGTCCCCGCGCCCTCGCGGCCCGGTCCCCGGTGAGTGCCGCGGGCTCCCGCCCCGCGCCGTCGAAGCTCTGCCCGGTCGGCCCCCTTCGGCCGCCGCCACCTCGCGCCGGGTCGGGCTCCTGCGCCGCCTCCGCCGGGACCCCTGGGGGGCGCGGGCAGGCCCCCGAGGCGCAGGGTGGCGGGAGGTCGCGAAGACGCACCCTGGGCCCCAGGGAAACTGAGGCGGGCGCGAGCTCGGAGGAGCGGGTCTGGGGGCGTTTCTCTTTCTGCCCGCGCCTGGCGCCCGCCGCGGACCGTCCCCTAGAAGCGCAGGAGCGGGCGGGGCGCGGGGGACAGGGGACAGGACGCCAGCGACCTCCATTCCCCACTGCCCGGGCCGCCGAGCGCGTCCAGAGCCGGCCCGGGGATGCGCAGGGGGACCCCGCTCCGACCACGGCGTCCCTACCCCGGCGGAGGCCGCAGGTGGCGCGGGGCCGAGGACCCCAGGGCCACCCGCGGGGGGGAAGACGCCCCCGGCGTCCGGTCCCTCCCACCCTCCCGCCGGTCCTCGCAGGACCCCAGCCTCACTGAAGTCCCCGGTCGTGCAAGCCCCGCACCTTCCTTCACCTGTCTGGAGGGGATGTTAAAAAAAATACACACTCACCGGACCGGCTTCCAGACTGCCCCGGACCACCCGCCCACCAATGGGGGCAAGACCCCGACAGAACTGGGGGGCCCCCTGAGGCTCACTGAGAAGAGGGGGGACGGGAGGGAGGGGCGAGGGGATGTCGGGGAGAGAAGTGGGATGGAGGGACGTCGCGGTAGAGACAGGTGGGTGAGACGGCTCGGAGGGGGCTGGGCTGGCGGGTGGGAGGGGCATCGGAGCAAGAACTTACAGGAGCAATTTCATTTTTCCTGCGTTCGTTCTAGAAGCATCTGGCTAGCCATTTACAGCTGGTCTCAGGCTTCACAGAGTGCTAGGTCGGCCTACAGAGCTGGTTAAAATAAAGATTCCCAGGCCCCTCCCCAGAGATGAGGTTGGGTTGAGCCCCCCGGGGAGGAGCATTTGTAATGGTCACTGTGCGCAACGGAGCACTGACTGGGGAGTCAGTGAGGCCACAGAGAAGACAGCTGGAAACCCAGTAGGAGAGTGAAGACGGCCATGTGTGGGGGGCAGGGGGCGTGCCCAAGTCAGTGGGCCACTTGCCGCACACCCAGGCCAGCACCAGGGACCCCTACCCCCAAGTCCCCAGGGGCCAAATTCCCATAGGAAGCACCCCATCACTCTGAAGGTGTCTGTTCACTTCCACGGTGGCCAGCCAGCTGCTGGGGACACTGACTAGGGAGACACGTCTGGTTCTCTGGTTAAGCTCTGCTGCCCCCAGACTCACCTGCTTCGGTGCCACCTGAGCCCCCAAGTAGACCAGCAGGAGGTTGTTGGCTTAGAGTGCTGGGTTTGAGTCCTGGCTCTGGGCAGGTCACCCCAGCCCTGGGCTGTGAAATGGGCCAGTAACATCTGCTTTGCAGAGCTGCCATTTCCCATGCAACCTGGACCTCGGGGACAGCCCTGGAACGAGGCAGGCCTGTCCGTTTCTGCTCGACCCTGGTGCTGGCTTGGCATCAGCGCCTTGGCTGGCCTCACTTTGCTCATTGGACAAACAGGAGCTGTGATTCTGGTCCTGGTGGCCAGGCATGAGCAGGGATGGCGATGGAGAGCTCAGGAAGGAGTCCCATCGGGGCCCATCAGACAGCGGGGGGGTCCTCTGCTGCCCTGTGCCCACTTCGCTCCTGCCCCCTGCGGGCTGAGGGCCTCCGGCAGCGCGTGCTTCCTGGGGGTCGGCCACAGGCCCACTGTTGGTGACAGCTCTGGGTGAGGTGCCGGCTGGCTGAGGGGCCGGGCTGTTGGGGGCAGCGAGGTCATCAGCTGCCCAGGCAGCCCAGGATTCCCAGGGGGAACTGGAGGAGTTTCTGGGACCCCAGGATGTGCCATCTCTCCTGGACACCTGTGCCCAGACACCACGGCTGCCCCCATCCTGGCAACAGCCTGAGGGAGGGCACCAGGAGGTGCCACTCAGCAGAGGGGAAGGCCAGCCCACCTGGACCCCAGGACTCGGGACATCCCAGGGGCTCAGTGATTGCACACCAGAGCCGGGGAGACCTGGACTCCATCCCAGGCCTCCTGCTGGCTCTGTGGCCTTGGACAGGTCCCTAACCCCAGGCCTCAGTTTCCCTGTCCGGATGAGGGGAGCAGAGCAGCTCCCCCTCTCTGGGGCTGGTCTGAGGATCATCAGGAGGGGTGCCCCCCACCTGGAACATTTTGTTCACTCAAAGACACCCTCAGTCCCTGCAGCTCAGGTCCCTTGGCTCCTGCGTCACATTTGTCTCTGGGACTGTGAGCCCCTGTAGCCCCTGTCGCACGCAGACGCAACTGGCGGTTGCCCTGGCAACAGCTCAGTTGGCGGCTGCTCCCCTGGCTTTGGGGGGCTGCGGGGGGAGCGGCCTCTTCCGCTCAGCTATGGAGGGGAAGGGGGGGCCCGTGACGACCGGCCCCCTGGGGACCTCAGGGCTGGCTGCAGGGGCACCAGCTTCTGGAAGCGCATGCCCAAGCTGCGGAGCCCCCATCTTTGGGGGGAGGCTACGGGGGAGGCACTGACACGTGTGAAGGAGAGGGGGCTGATTTCTGGGATCTCGAGCTCTGCGCCCACAGGGGGATGCACCACTCGCCCTCATTGTCCCCAGCACTCGGGTCTGGCCAGGTGAGAGCACATCTGCTGGGTCCACAGGACCAGGGTTGGAGCATCAGGAAGCAGGACGGGGTGCTGTCTGGGGTGGTGGCCTGAGCTGGGAGTGGGTTCAGACCAAGGCCAGCAGCCCTGGACCACTGAGAGACAGACAGACAGACACAGCTGAGAGCAGGGGTCTGGTTCACTCAACAAAGTCTCTTTAGGACCACAACGTGCCAGGCGTGCCCCGGGCCCCAGCTCTCCTGGCAGAGCCTAAGGTTTGGAGAAAGAGGCAGTAGAGGTTAAACGGGGACTGCCCCCAACACGGGTGTGACCTCTGAGCAGCGGGCATGGCCTGGGGAGCTGGCCCGGGCACACCGGCCAGAGTCGGCTCTGACCTGGCCCTCCCGCCACTCACTGCCCCGGAGATCCAGGCGAGTAGAGTTGGATCTGGCTGAGTCCCTGTCTTCTATTTTGTCAAATGAAGATGACAGTTGCCTCTGTTGGCAAGTGAGCATCAGCTAGAAAGGGGCCCCTGAGTGCAAATGCCCCCATGGGGCATAGTCGGGGGCATGATGTGTCCTGTACCCCAGAAGCCACAAGCCTGGGGAGGGAGCCCGGGGGTGCACCGAGCGGCAGAGGTGCCCTTTCCCCTGTAGTCTTAACCGGGAGAGTGAGGAGACCACACAGGGGTTTCGGGGGCAGCTCAGGGCCCGAGGCTGTTGCATGACGCAGGGAGAAGTGGGTGCTTGGGCCTGGGCGTGCGGTGGTACAGGCGGGCTCGAGGGCCTGCAGCCGCTTAGTTGTCATCCTGCCCTTCCTTCTGGGGTCTTCAGGGGACAGTGAGTCCATGTGGAGGAGACATGCAGGTGTGACAGCGAGCCGGCCTTCCTCCCTGAGCCAGGCTGGCTGGGCTAGGGGAGACTGGAAACAGCCATGAGTACGAGCCAAGAGATTCCAGGGGACTCCCAGGGCCTTGCCACCTGGACAGGAAGGTGTCCTGTTACTCATAGGTGCCCACTGCTGGGGTCACCGGCTCCAGCCCCTCCCCGGACTGCAGACTTGCTCAGTCTGAGCCCTGCCCTGCCGCACACAGATTCTGGCCACACCACAGGACGACAGGACTGAGGTGGCTTCAGCGGGTGCGTGGGCAGGGGGCTCCTGGGCCCAGGCTCTATTCCTCCCTTTGGCAGAGAGCCCTGCTGTCCCAGCCGAGACATCTGGGCTGCTGCAAGCAGGATGCTCACAGTGGCTCGGTTGCCATGGCAACACAGGGGTCTGGGAGTGGGAGCTGTGGCCCCCACCCCAGCACTTTCCAGAAGGGCAGGACTTGCTCCATGGCTCATTTCTACTGATTGCGGGGAGCAGGCTCTGCTCGGGGGGCAGCCCACGGGGTGAGGATAGGGTATTGATCTGGCTGTGCTTGGAGGGTAAGGACCCCCAGTGAGTCCTCTCATGCATCTTGGCCACGTGGGCTGAAGGCCTGGTTGCAGGGAAGCCCCAGGTGTGGTGGCTGCGGCTCCACTGGCCGTGCCCACTGGCCTCTTCTTGCCCAGGCCCTTCTCCAGGACATCTCCGGGGTTCTGGCTAGGGCTTGCCTCCTCCAGGGCCTTTGCCTGCCCTGGCCCAGAGTAGCCTGTGGGTGCTGAGTGAGACAGTTTCTCCCACATCTTGGTCCCCCGAGCGAAGCCCCCAGGAGACAGAGGCACTCCCTGTCGCATTGTCCTAAGATCCCAGGGACACGGCCAGGGTCCCAGCCCTGGATGGATAGCGGGTGGGAGCGTGGAAGAACTGCCCCCCCCAGTGAAATCCAGCAGCTCCCAGCGATGGAGCAAGGACTGTGCCCAGCACTACTGTCACCTCTTACAGCCCTGTCCCATCCCCAGAGCTACCCTGCAGGGGTCTCCCATTTTGCAGATGAGGACACAAAGGCTTAGAGAGACCAAGCAACTTGCCCAGGCCACCAGCAGGAGTTCTCATGGCCCCTTGGGTACCCAGCACAGTCCAGGGTTGGGGGTGGGCTCCCGGGCCTCTGCTGTCCCCACCCCCGCCTCTGGTGGCCTTGATGGTGCCAGGTGCCCCGCCACCAGCCACTGCTCCCTCGGAGGCGCTCCTCCTCCTGCACCACGGGCAGTCCCATCAGGAGGCTGTTCCAGCCCGTCAGGAATGCGGCTTCTTCTGTGGGTTTTTGCTTAATTCAGTAATTGCTCGATGTAGCACCTGACGTGACTACTGGGGACAGTGTGGCAGTGCCACTGACCGAATGAACGAGTGGAAACTGGAGGCCCCGGCTGTGCTGTCTACCCACAGGTCGCCCGCCATGTCCACCCTGCTGGACATCAAGAGCAGTGTGCTCAGGCAGGTGCAGGTGTGCCCGTCCTTCCGCCGGAGGACCGAGGAGGAGCCGGGGAGCACCAGCGCCGACCCTCAGGAGCCCCCCACAGGGGCCTGGTGGGTGCCCACGGCCCCACCCCACACAGTCATCCTCACTGGACCTCACACACCAGCTGCCCCAGCACAGGCCCCCAGGAGAGCCCAGGAGGGCCCAAACCCCAGGCCAGGGGGTGCACTGTGCCCGTCATACTACACCCCAGCTGTGCAGAGACCCGGGAGGCCCCCCTTGGTCGTGTGGGCTGGTTGCTGGTCCCGGGCAGGGGCTGGTGCGTGCTGTGAGCCATGAGCTTCCAGGAGCATCAGCTGACCTCCAGCCTGGCCTTTCCCACAGGAAACCTGGGGATGGCGTGGAGTTCTTCTCCCAGATGCGCCGCATCCTGAAGAAGGGGGAAGGCAGACAGGGCCTGCCGTGCCCCGAGGTGAGGACAGGGCTCGGGCCTGCTGACCGCATGGGGGCACCGTGCCAGGCCTCCCCAGAGCCTTCCCCCTCTGCCTCCAGCCTCCGCCCCTCGACTCCCTCCCTCCCTGGAGCAATCCCTGCCCGGCTGGCCGCGGATCCTGGGGGGGCAGCCAGGATCCCTACCCTCGGAGGCCCTCACCCCAGTGCCCTCCTCACAGGTCCTCTTGCGCAGCGGCTCACCAGCCCCCGCTGAGCCCGTGGATCCCAACCGTGGCCTGAGAGCCCTGACCCAGGAGGAGGTGAGGGGCACAGGGTCTGGCCCCAGGGAGGGGCTGTGAACATGTCTACTGTGTGCTGGGCCCAGGGTCTGGGGATAGGTGGATAGCAAAGGTGGCAGGAGTGGATGGCTCAGGCCTCCCATGGAAGTGAGTAAGGAGCGGAGGTCAGACGTGAGGAGGGGCCCCCAGTGGAGGGCGTGGCAGGTGTAAAGGTACTGAGGCAGAGTCTGGGCTCTGCCAGTGAGGGGGGCTGCTGAAGGCTGGGGGCTGGGCATGCAGGGGGTGGACACAAGCAGGCTGAGACCCCTCTGTGGCCAGGGCTGAAGAGAGACAGGGCGGGGTGGCCTGGACTCAGGTGTGCTCCCCACCCGACCCACAGGTGGAGATGCTCTATGAGGAAGCCCTGTACACGGTCCTTCACCGCGCAGGAACCATGGGCCCTGAGCAGGTGAACGACCAGGAGGCCCTACTGAGCTACCTTCAGCAGGTGAGCCCTGTCAGCCCCGCCCACCCTGCTGGCCAGGCCTGCCCTGCTCTGAGGATTCAGACCACTGCCCACCCCTGACCCACTCCCGTACCTGCTGACATTCTCATTACCCGAACAGCACACACACACACACATGTGCGTGCAGGCAGACACGCACACACAGGCTGACAGGCACACCCAGAATGATGGAGCGATGGACAGACACACACAGAGAAGGGTAGAAAGAAGGACAAACCAAGGGATGGACACTCAGGAGGAAGGATGGATGCACAGACGTACCTTTCCTCTTCACCTGTGTTCTCCCCCGACCCGCGAGGTTTGCAACCAGGCATCCCTGCCTGGGGCCATCCCTGAGGTCCCCGGGATGATGGCCAGCCCCGCCTCAGCGGTCACCTGGGCCCTCACACCTGCCTGCCCTGCACAGGTGTTCAGCACCAGCCCCGAAGAGCATGCTGAGGCCGTTGAGCGCGTGAAGAAGGCCAAGGTGAGGCTGCTGCCCACCCAAGCAGACACTGACCTGCCGCAGTGCCCTTGGCCAGGGGTGAAGGGGTGAAGCGGGCACAGGGCAGGGCCCTGTCATGTCCATGCTGAGCCCTGGGAGGTCCCTCGGCACCCCTCTGCCTGCAGGCCCCTACGTACGCCCTGAAAGTTTCCGTCATGCGTGCCAAGAACCTGCTGGCCAAAGACCCCAATGGTGAGTGGGGACCAGCCGGGACCTTGGCCGCACCCAGGCCTTGTGGCCATGGAGGGATGGAGGGCCTGGGGTCAGAGGCTGAAGCACCCACCGTGTCCCAGGCTTCAGTGACCCATACTGCATGCTGGGCATCCTGCCGGCCTCGGGCACCCCGCGGGAGCCAGGCTCGCATAAGGAGCAGCGCTTCAGCTTCCGCAAGGGCAGCAAGCGTGGCGGCCCACTGCCAGCCAAGTGCATCCAGGTCACCGAAGTCAAGAGCAGCACCCTGAACCCTGTCTGGAAGGAGCACTTCCTCTTGTAAGGTCCCTCGCCCAGCTGGGCAGCAGAGTGGTCAGGCATGGGGCTGCTTGCAGGGCCAGAGCCGGTCCTGGGGCTGCATGCAGGTGGCTGTGACCTGAGAGGGACAGCTCACAGCTGTCCCTGGTCTCAGTGACTGCCCCAGGGAAATGAGGGGGGCTGGTCATATGCCCACTTTCCAGAGGAGGAAACTGAGGCTCTGAGAGGGGCATCATGCCCCCATGGCCACACAGTCCAGATTCAAACCTGGGCAGCCTGTCTCCAAAGCAGGAGCTCATGACCCCTCCCTGTGGCTCTGGAAGTTGTCCCTGCCCCAGCCCTGGACCGAGGACCACCCCGAACCCTCATGGGCATCACTCTGTTCTCCTTATAGTGAGATCGAGGATGTCAGCACGGACCAGCTCCACCTGGACATCTGGTATTGGCCTCTGTGCCCTGTAGGGCTGGGGGTGTGGGCGTCTCTGGTCTGGGGGGAGTGGGGGGTGTACTCAGGGCTGGACTGGGCTCCAGGCAAGCCAGGCCCCCCCCTCTTGTCCCGACCCCCAGGGACCATGATGATGACGTGTCCCTGGTGGAAGCGTGCAGGAAGCTGAATGAAGTCATTGGCCTGAAGGGCATGAGCAGGTATGTCAGGTGGGACCCTTGTGCCCCTCAGACCCTGCACCAGCAGCTTGGCCTCGGGGGCCAGTGCGTGGTGGCTGGCTCCCCAGGGACCACAGACATGATGCCCATCCTGCTCTGCCCAGGTATTTCAAACAGATTGTCAAGTCGGCCCGTGCAAATGGGACAGCAGGGCCCACGGAGGACCATACCGATGACTTCCTTGGGTGCCTCAACATACCCATCAGGGTGAGTGGGCACAGGGGCTTCACTCATGCAACCTCTGCTGGTTGCACCACCCTCTTGGGGGACTGCCCATGGCTGTGTCTTGTGATCCCCCAAGAGTCTCCCGTCCTTCTTGGGCTTGGGGGGCCACCGTGCTGGGTGGGGGGGCAGGATATCTTCCCAGGGCTTCCTGTGTCCAGGCATGCTGAGCACTCACTGTGTGCTGGTCACACGTGTTCAAGGGGGAGAGGAGGCCTGTGTTCTCCCAGTTCCCAGAGGGTCTGTGGGAGGAAGAGGGAGGAGGACTTGTGTGACCCCCCTTCCTCCAGGAGGTGCCTGTGGCTGGCGAGGACCGCTGGTTCAAGCTGGAACCGCGCTCCAGTGCCTCCCGCGTGCAGGGCGACTGCCAGCTGGTCCTCAAGCTCATCACCACGCAGGTGGGGAGCCTCGGGGACCCCACCCTGCACCCCCTGCCCTGCACCCCCACCCCTGGGCTGGGGCAGAGCTGGTGATGGGCGGTCTCTGCGTTCCAGAGGGACACAGCCATGAGCCAGCGCGGGCGGTCAGGCTTCCTGTCCTACCTGCTGCTGCTCAGCCGTCTGCTGCAGTTCGAGCACCGAACTGACGAGGTAGCGGTGTCCCCAGAGACCCGGGGGGCGGCCAGGCGTGGCCTAGGGAAGGCGACCGGGGAGGCCGGAGATCAGGGCTGGGAGGGGATGGGGGTCTTCTGTCTCCACCCACGTTCGGCCTCTTCCCCAGCCCAACTCGAGCAGCTGGCGCGGCGAGCTCAGCGGACCTGCGGCCACCGTGCTGTGCCTGCACGGCGCGCAGAGCAACCTGTCGGCCCTGCAGCTGGCGGTGCTGTGAGTGGGCGGGGCCGCGAGGGCGTGGCGTGGGGAGAGGCGGTGCTGTGATTGGGGGGCAAGGGAAGGGGGCGGTGCTGCCGGTGGGCGGGACTGAGTGGGTGTGACCCCTAGCGGGCAGGGCACTAGGGCGAGGCCGGGGAGGGAGTGGTGCGCTGTGTGGGCGGGGCCCTATAAGGGGAGGGGCGGTGAGTGGGCGGGGCCTGGCAAGGTATGAGGCTGCGAGTGGGCGGGGTTCTGGAAGGGGCGGGGTGTCTAGTGGGCGGGACCGCGATTTGGGCAGGTGGGGCTTTGAGCGGATGGGGCCGCGAGGGGGCGGGGTGGGAGCTGGAGGCTCACGCCGGGCCACTTGGGGGACACGGTCTTGGGGGACACGGTCTTGGGGGACCGGACGTGACGCCGCTGTCCCAATCGTGGGCGGGCCCCCACAGGCACTGGCAGGTCAGCAGCCGCCACCATCAGACCCGGACCCTGGACTACGGCTACCTGCTGGGGCTGCTGGAGGACATGCAGGCGCACTGGGAGGAGTCGGCCTCGCTGCCCCAGGAGCAGGTGGGCTCGGCCGCGTTGCTGAAAATGCCGTTCCTGGAGGGTGTGCCGTGGGCCTGCTCGGGCTGGGCAGACAGTGAGGGGCCGAGTTCTGCCCTGGCAGGAGCACGGCCTGGAAAGTTGATATGGAGTTAAACGGGTGAGAGAGGCTGTGCACTTGGGTCAGCAGAGCAACAGAGAAGAGTGGGGCAGAGGAAACAGCTGTGGTGCCGTGCAAAGGGCAGAGCCTTGAGGACGGGCTGGCCCCGCCAGGGGAGGGCGCTGAGGGATCAGCTCTGAAGGGCCCTGTCCCCCCAGGAAGAGAGCCTGGCCGACAGCTTCTCCGCCTTCTCTGAGTTTGGGCTGCGGCTGCTGCGCCAGCTCCGAGACTACTTCCCTGCCACCAACAGCACGGCTGTCTACCGCCTGGAGCTGCTGCTGAAGTGGGTGCAGCCGTGCGTGGGGTCGGGGTAGGGGACCGGGTGGGGCAGCCTCCATCAGCAGGCGGCCCCTCACCCAGGTGTCTTGGCAAGCTGCAGCTCTTCCAGCCTGCCTTTGAGATCTGCCCGTTCGAGACGGAGCTCAACATGGACATCGCTGCTGCCCTGAAGGTGCGTCTAGGAGCCTGGTCTTGGCTAATTGTCCAGCCCCTGCCCTGCATCCCACAGCTGCCCTGCCCCCACGCCATGCCCCACTCCTGCCCCTGCCCGGTCCACTGGCCCTGGCCTGCTGTACTGCACACTCCATTGCCCTTCCTCCCTTCCACCACGCTGCCCTGGTGGTTTGCCTTGCAGAGAGGCAACCGGGAATGGTACGACAGGCTCCTGAACAGCAAGAGTCCTCGCGAGCAGGTGCCGCTCAGGGCCATGGCCACAGGGGAGGGGAGGCGGGTGGCAGGTGGGTGCAGGCCAAAAGGTCAGTGTGAACCGGGCTTCCTTGCAGCCGGGGCCACAGCGCCTTGTGGGGCTGGTCGAGCTGGCTGACGCCGTCTACGAGGACCTGCAGTCCTGCTACGGCATCTATGCCAGCCTCTTCCACAGGTGGGCCCAGGGCTCTCCCTGCTGCCCCTGCACCCAGCCCTTCAAGTGCTGCCGCCGGGTGGGGGTGGGGACGAGCAGGTGTCTGAGGTGTGTCCTTTGCAGCATTGTCAAGGTCGACTTCTTCACCCTCACCTTCCGGCAGCTGGAGCGCCTGGTGAGGAGGGGGCAGTGGGGAGAGGCCCCCTGACTGGGAAGGGGCCTGGGTTTCCTTGTTGGCGTCGGCCTGACTCAGTCCTCCTGGGCAGGTGGCCGAGGAGGCGTGGGTGTTGACGGAGGAGCTGAGTACCAAGATGACCCTGGAGGTGGCCTCAGGGCTCTTCGAGCTCTACCTGACCTTGGCAGACATCCAGTGCTTCTGGAGCAGCATCCCGGGACGGTGGGTACCCTGCCCCACCTGTCCCACCTGTCCCCATGTCCCCCTGCCCCTTCTGGCACCATCCCCACTTGTCTCCCCCACCTTACCCTTCCTCCAAATGTCCCCCTCCCCTCTGCCCCACCTGTTCCCCCCTCGTCCACTTGTCCTCCTCCCCCACCTGCCCCCAGCCCCCCTGCCCCATCTGGCCCCCTCCCCACCTGTCTCCTCCACCTTTCCCCTCCCCTACCTGTCCCCACCCCATCTGTCTCCTTCCCTTAGCTGCCCTCCTGCACCACCTGTCTCCTTCCTTCCACTTATTTCCCTCCCCTACTTGTCCCCTTTCCCCCCATCCTCCCACCCCACCTGTCCTCCAGCTCCCTCTAGGAGGACCCTTTGAGGCTCTGTCGGGTTCCCCCTTAGTTCAAGAACCTGGGACATGCTGGCTTAAGGTGTCTGAGTCTGAGAGCTCTGACTGGCCTTCTGTCCTAGGGACAGCCGCTCCCTGGCGCTGGCTGGCATCCACGCCCCATTCCTGCCCGCTGTGAAGCTTTGGCTGCAGGTGCTGCGGGACCAGACCAAGTGGAGGCTTCAGGGAGCCGTGGACGTGGACACAGTAAGTGAGCACCCAGGCCTGAGGGTGCTGGGGTCATTGGGCCCCCCCAGCAACCCAGGCCTCCTCCTGCCTTCCTAGTTGGAGCCCATGGATGCCTCCTCCAAGCACAGCAGCTCCGCAGCCACTGCAAGCCTCTGCTTCAGCCACATCCAAGAGCTGTGGGCCCGCCTCGCGTGGCCGGACCCTTCCCAGGCCCAGGGGCTGGGCACCCAGCTCGGCCAGGTGCGTTGGCTGTGGGGTGGGGAGTAGGGCCCAGGAGGAGATCGGGGTCCACAGGGCAGCAGGGCTGGCGGACACGGTCCATGGCTCCCAAGTCCCCATCTCCCACTCCAGGACTTGTGTGAGGCTGCCCTCTTCTACACCCAGCTGCTGCGGAAGAAGGTGGACGCTCAGCCCGGGGCTGCAGGCGAGGCAGTGAGCGAGCCGGTGAGCAGGCTGGCGGGCAGGCGGGAGAGGGCAGGAGGCCACCACAGGACCGCCAACCCACCCATGTCTGGCGCACCTCCCCAGCTCTGTGTGGTCCTCAACAACGTGGAACTCCTGCGCAAGGCTGCCAGGCAGGCGCTGCGGGGTCTGGCGTGGCCAGAGGGGGCCGCAGGCCTCGAGGGGGTGCTCCCACGCCCCCTGCTCAGCTGCACGCAGGCCCTGGACGAGGACCTGCAGCAGGAGGCCCACACTGTGACGGCGCACCTGACCTCCAAGGTGGGCAGGGAGGGGGGGTGGGGGACCTGGCTGCCCCCACAACCCCACAGTGCTGAGCGCTGCCCTCCCTCAGATGGTGGGTGACATCAGGAAGTACGTGCAGCACATCAGCCTCTCGCCCGACTCCATCCAGAACGACGAGGTGCGTGCCTGGCCGGCCGAGGGCTCTGCATGGTGGGGGGGGTGCACTTGTGGGGTGGGGGCCCAGGCACAGTCCGGCCCTGAGGACCCTGTCCATAGGCCGTGGCCCCGCTCATGAAGTACCTGGACGAGAAGCTGGCCCTGCTGAACGCTTCGCTGGTGAAGGAGAACCTGAGCAGGTACGGTCCAGGATGGGTGGAGCAGGGCCGGCCTGTGGACTGCTCACAGACGCTGAGTGTCCCTGCAGAGTGCTGGAGGCCCTCTGGGAGCTGCTGCTGCAGGCCATTCTGCAGGCACTGGGTGCAAACCGCGACGTCTCTGCCGACTTCTACGGCCGCTTCCACTTCACGCTGGAGGTAGGGCCGCCTGGAGCCCTCCCTGCTGGAGCTCTGGGCCCTCTCCCCGCTGGCCCAGGGCGACAAGGCTGCTGACCATTCCCTTTCCCCTGCTGCCCATCTACTTGGATGCCTGGCCTTCCCAGCCTGGACAGCTTCTCCTCTGGGGATCCACCCAGGCCGTAGTTCCTCCCTGGAGCCCTGTGTCAGTAACCCCTGGGCCACCTGTTAAAACAGCTGTCTGGCCTTGGGTCCTGAGGGTTTCTGAGGTGCTCCAGGGGTGACAGGTGGCTCTGCCCTGGGCTCCTGGGAGCTGCTCAAGGCTTCATCTGTCTCCGCCCACTGTCCCCGCCCTGACATCTCTTCCTTCTCCCTGTGCCCCAGGCCCTGGTCAGTGTTTTCCATGCTGAGGGTCAAGGTCTGCCCCTGGAGAGCCTGAGGGATGGAAGCTACAAGGTGAGGCCTAGCCCCGGGGGTATCTGATGGAGGGAAGGGGAGGCGTGGACAGCGGGGACCTGAGTTCAGCCACTGGCCACGTGTGACCTGGGGCTGTGAGGAGTCAGCCCCCACCGGCCGCTGCCCGCAGAGGCTGGAGGAGGAGCTGCGCCTGCACAAGTGCTCCACTCGCGAGTGCATCGAGCAGTATTACCTGGACAAGCTCAAGCAGGTAGCGCACCCGCCCGGGGTGGGCACGCGGCCCCGCCCCTGGGCGTCCCTGAGCCCCGCTCACTGGGCCATGGGCCTTTCCACAGAAGTCCCTGGAGCAGAACCGGTTCGGGCGCCTGAGTGTCCGCTGCCACTACGAGGCGGCTGAGCAGCGGCTGGCGGTGGAGGTGCTGCACGCCGCTGACCTGCTCCCCTTGGACGCCAACGGTGAGGGAGAGGGCTGTGGCGGGGTGGGGGCCGCCGCGGCAGACAGTGCAGTCTGCTCACTGCCACTGCTGGGTCCCCCAGGCCTGAGCGACCCCTTTGTGATCGTGGAGCTGGGCCCTCCACACCTCTTCCCGCTGGTCCGCAGCCAGAGGACCCAGGTCAAGAGCCGGACGCTGCACCCCGTGTACGACGAGCTCTTCTACTTGTGAGTGTCCCGCCCTGCCCAGCCCACCCCGAGCGAGTGGGGTGCAGGGCTCTGGGTGACCGCCTTCCACCTGCAGCTCTGTGCCTGCAGAGGCGTGCCGCCGCCGTGGCGCCTGCGTGCTGTTCACGGTCATGGACCACGACTGGCTGTCCACCAACGACTTTGCTGGGGAGGCGGCCCTTGGCCTGGGCAGCATTGGCGGCGTCGCACGGCCCCCAGTGGGAGGGAGCATGAGGGCCGGGCAGCCCATCACCCTGCACCTGCGCCGGCCCAGAGCCCAGGGTGAGTGACGGAGGGTAGGGGGGGTGTGGGGCCGCTGGCTGGCCAGGCCTGATGCCCACCCCGCCCTCTCGCAGTGAGGTCTGCACTGCGGATGCTTGAAGGCCGTGCCAACAAGGAGGCACAGGAGTTTGTCAAGAGACTCAAGGAGCTGGAGAAGTGCATGGAGGCGGATCCCTGAGCACCCCCGTGGCCGCCAGCCCCAGGCCCTCCTCAAGTCGCTGTGGTGTTTTTTAGCCCTGTGGTCAGCTTTGTGCAGCCAGGGCTCGCGGCGCCCCTTGCCCTGCTGCGTGGCATGCATGCTGTGGCTGGACCCCCCAGCCCGTCTGCCTGGCTGTGTCTGTGTGGTGTGTGCTGTGAACCCCTTGGGCCCAGCAAGCCTCGCCCCACCCTGGATCTAGGCGGCTGATTCAGTGGGGCCTGGCCAGCACCTGCCCCCGCTGGACGCAGAGCAGAGTGGGCCTGGCCACCAGGTGAGCTTCCCCACCTGCTCCCTCGGGTTCCAGACATGGCACAAGGCTGCTGGTCTTAGAGCAGCATTCTCAGTGGGGTGGCTCTGCTCCCCAGGGGACAATAGGCCATGCCTGGGGACATTTTTGGTGGTCATCACTGGAGGTGAAGGCAATGCTACTGGCCCCAGTGGGTAGAGGCCAGGGATGCTTCTTGACATCCTGCAGTGAACCAGATGGCACCCTCCCCCCAAGAAAGAATGGTCCAGCCCCAGTGTCACCAGTGCTACAGAGGAGACCATGTCTTAGATGAAGCTCTGTCCGCTCTCTCTCCTGGGGGCAGGGGAGGCGGGCAAGGCCTACCTAGGCAGAGAAGCAGGAAAGCCTGAGTTTGAGTCGAGAAACAGCTCCCAGAGCCCTAGGTGGAAGGAGAGGGTGAGCATCCACAGGGTTCCCACCCTCTCCTGGCTCCAGAATCCTCCACCCACAGGGCCTGCCGAGGGGAGGTTTGCTAAGTACTACATCAGTCTCCAGTCCCCACCTGGCTCCTGGACCCAGGAGAAGGTCCCCTCGGCTCACTCTGTGAGCCTGGGGATGTCGCCCGAGGCTGGTGTGTCAGTGTAAGGGACCGTACAGACTAGTTGGCTGTCCGACTTCTCCTTTCGCGTACACACACGTGCCCACACAAGAGCTACTCCGTGGCCTGCCATCCCCACAGCCCAGACCCTTCCAGGCAGGGTCTGCCTCACCAGAGGCGGAGAGTCCCCCAAACCCTCAGGCCAAGTGCAAAGAAACAGAGGCTCACGCTGGGGTGTCCTTGGTCTGCAGCTTCATTGGCAGGGCTCCGAGGCAGGACCCAGAGCCAGGCCGTGTTAGAAGTGCTGGGAGAGAACCTGGACAGAGTCCAGTCCTGCTGGCAGCTGCAAGGGGCCGAGGCCACCAGGCCTGCCTGTGTTCCCACGAGTTCCGCCGCCATCTCTAGATTTCCTTATCACTCCGCCTCGAAAAATACACGTGTCCGCAACCTTCAGTCTCTCTGCCGTTTCTTGATTCCTTTCCAAACCTCTGTGGGGGCCCGGGCCTCAGCCCCTCGCTCTGGAGTCCCCTCCTTTTCAGAGCAGCTGCCGCTTCCTTCTTGCTCAGGATCAGGCCCATGCTCCTCAGGCTCATCCTCACTGTCACCGTCACTGTCACCACTGTCCATGGGCAGCCTGGGGGTGGTGGTGGGAGAGTGTTTTCACTAAAGATGTCATCCCTGCCAGACTCACCCATAAAAACCCCAAAGCTGAGGACAGAGTCCTCCCATTCTGTGTACTTGAAACCAAAACCTCTCCAGTGGCATGTCCAGATTCCCTTGTTCACAGTCAGAAAACCACCATGTGTTGTTTAGGACACTGCCCCCCGCAGCAGGAGGGGCTGAGGCCAGAGGCCGAGGAGAGCCCTGGGTCTGGGCTGTCACGACTGGGAAACTCAAGGACCTACCGGGTGCCAGCCACAGGCCTGTTGGGGTTTGCAAACTCTCTTCCTGAATCCACGTCAAAGGGATCTGAGCGGAGAGAGCCAAGAGAAAAGTACCTGTAGGTAAGCTTACAGCAGAACCGAGTGTCCCCCAAGCTGTGGCAGGAAGGACCCCCCCCCCCCGGGTTTCTCAAAAGGAAGTGGCAGGCCTGGAGGGTCCTGACTCCCACCTAGGGGCTCGCATCCATGCCAGGCCTCACCGATTTCCTCCTCCTCGGGGTGCTCCTTGGCGTGGACCAGGAACTCCTGCTCTGCCTGCAGCACCTCCTCGGGGCCGCTGCAGGCTGCGTACTTGTCCAGGAGCTGGCGGTTCAGGTCTAGGAAGCCCTTGCCCCACTTGAATTTCCGCAGCAAAATAACAGCAAGGTCTGAGAAGCCTGTTGGTGCGGGAACAGGCAACCCAAGGATGACGGCGATCTCTCCTGTCGCCCTCACTGCTGGGAGGTGCTGCTGCCCCGGGAACTGCGAGTCCCTGCCAGACACCATCCTAGAGTCCAGACAGCCCAGGCCCCCTCACCAGCTTCTGCCTCCGCAGCCCACTAAGTCCCTCTCCCCAAGTCTCACAGGACCGCCCTTCTGGGCCTCTATGTGGACTCTAAGTCCTGAGGATGAGCTGAGGGGTGACGGAGGGCTGTAGGGCAGTGGTGCCATGACATGGAGGAGCCAAATACAAGTGCTCGTGGGCCACTGTTCATTCTCCTCCACCTCAACCTCACAGGCCGAGGGCTTAAGTGGGAGTTGGGATCAAAACCCTGGCCTGTCTATCTTGACCACCTCCCCACATACCCTCACATTACTCCTAGGACTTGCCAGCAGAAAACACACTGCTGGGAGCAGAGCCAGACCTCCAGGCTGCCAGGCCCCGACACTCACCCAGGATGCAGAAGGTGGCCGCAAAAGCCTCCACGCAGGACAGTTTGCAGGGCCGGCCATAGTTCACCGGGTTGGCGGCCACCAGGTGGGGCAGCAGCCGCAGGTGGCCCCCCCGCATCTTCCCAAACGGTGTCTCATCCAGTCTGGCCCAGGAGCAGTCGATGACGGCGACCCCGGACTGTGCCACTAGCTGTCTGCCAGGAGCAGAGAAGGGCTAGGTTCCGGGTTGGTATGTCCTTGGAGGCTGGCCTCACTGGGGATACAAGGGCATCATTCCCCTACCGCCAAACACCCCCCCAAGGGCCCTCATGGCCCAAACTTTCCAGACAGCTGGAGAGGAGGGAAGCGTTCCTGGAGCAGGCTCATTTATTCACTCAACAAACGTTTATTGAGGTCTGGTGTATACTAGGCTCTATGCTAGGCAATAGAGACGAACTAAACAAATAAGTACGAATAGGTGAGCCCTAGAAGGAATGATGCGCTACAGCCGAGGACTTATTAAGACGGGAGCGTCCAGGAAGGCCCCCCGCCCCCTTCTTCCGTCCCCGGGCCTCTCGCGCCTACCTGTCCGCGGGGGACACGTACTGGGAGGCCATGGGGCTGAGCACGAGGCCACCGAACCTGTGGCCCAGGCGCAGGCAGCGCACCAGGCCCAGGCGGGCCAGCTTGCGGCCGGTGCAGCGCCGGGGGTCGCAGTGGCCCAGCTCCCACATGGCCAGCGCGCAGGGCAGCCGCGGCGGGCCCGGGCTGTCCTCGTCCTCGTCCGCCTCTGGCTCCACGGCCGCTGCACCGGGGCAGAGAAGGGCACTCGGCCTCAGTGGGCCGGTCTCTGGCATCCGACCTCCAGCCCGGCCCCGACCCCGGTCACGCCCCACTCACCACGCAGCGCGGCGCCCACCTCCTCCGAGAAGGCTTCCAGGGAGCGGCCCGCAGGGCGACGAGCGCGGCCGCCTTCAGCTCCGGCCCCGCGCGCAACCTTCCTGCGGCCCATGGCTCTGGGTCCCCTCCGCGGGCAGCCGGGGCGCCCGGGCTTCTGCGCCTGCGCCGGGCGCCACTTCCGGTTCCGGGGGCCGCTCACGTGACCCGCCGACGCTCACGTGACAGGCCGCCCGGCCGGCGGCGGAGCGATGGCGGCGAGGTTGTCGCGCCTGCTGCGGCTGCTGCTGCTGCTCGGGCCCGCGACGCGAGGTGAGTGTCCGGCCGCCCGCGCACCGCCCAGGCCCCCGCGGCCGGAGCCCCTTCCCGACCCGTCCCCGCGCCCTCCTCACCGCCCGCTCCCCGCAGGGCCCGCGCCGGCAGCTGCCGCCAAGATGAAGGTGGTGGAGGAGCCCAACACGTTCGGGTGAGCGGGCGCGCGGCCCGTGGGGCGGCTGAGGGGCGGCCCGGGCCCGCCTCCCCCTGACCCTCCGTCTCCCGCAGGCTCAACAACCCGTTTCTGCCGCAGACCAGTCGCCTCCAGCCCAAGAGGGACCCTTCCCCCGTGTCTGGTGCGTGCGGGACCCTGGCCGCGGACGGGGCGGGGCCAGGAGGGGGCTGGCCGGGCTTCCCAACCGGCGGGGCCGGGTCAGCGCTGGGGAGCCTGCTCGAGGGGGGCCGGGGAGGGAAGGGCGGCCTCGGATGAGGGGCCCTGAAGGTTCGGGCCTGGAGGATCACGCGTTCGTTTGTCAGCCTTTTAAAATTATTTTTAAGCGCGAGATAATATTCCAGGGCGTTCTTGTACTAAGTTAGTTACCACCTGACGCAGCCCTTTATTTCCTTCTCTAGAGGTGATCTCTGTTAAGAGTTCCGTGGTCTGTTCTTCTGGATCTATTTTATGCTTTTACGTGCACAAGTATACGAGGAAAAACGTCTAGGAATTTTTTTGTGATCTTTGCTGCCGTTTTTTGCAGCAGTGTTACTACACAGGGTTGCTAATTTGCAGTTGTTGCTCACTGTGTGTCTTGCGCTCTTCATGGTGTGGGATGTAGGTCTTCATTCTTTTCACTTGATGCTTAGTAGATGGCTCTGCGTTCCTTTATTGTCAGGCGTTGTGGTGGTTGCGTTTTTTGGCCCATGAGAAACAGTGGCGTGGAGAACATCCCTCACACGGCCTTTTCTGTGCCTGTGTGAGTGGCTTCCTAAGGCAGGATCCCAGAAGTGGAATTGCTGGGTCATTAAATGAGTTTTAAATATAGCAAAAATCCGAGAATGTTTTTATTGGATTCTACTGTGTGTTAGGGTCTGTGCTGGGGATGCGGAAATGAACAAAACATTCAGTGCCTGTTCTCAGAGCTGAAGACAAGGTCTAGTGGGGGGGGGGAGGCAGTAAACAGATGGAAGCAAAATGCAGAATGACCGATGTTGTCCAGTGCTCTGTAGGTATGGAAAGCAGGGGGAGGGGGTGTTATTTAGGGAGTCAGGAAAAGACGGAAGCGACCTTTTGGCCAAAACGTGAAGGAGGACAGGGAGGAAGGGATGTGGATATCTGGGAGCAGAGGAGCTGCGCAGAGGGAGTGGCCAGATAATGGCCTTGAACAAGGAGGCCAGGGCCACGGGGGCTGGGGGCCAGTGAGAGCAGGCATAGAGGCAACAGGTGTGAGCTCTCACTCTAGCCGCTTTTTATTATGGAAAGCATCGAAGAGGACATGGAAGGAATGGGACAGTGAACAACAGCTAACATTTTGCCACACGCGCATCATCTTCCTCTGTTTTCATTTTGTAAAAAGTGAACTTTCATTTTCTGAGCCATTTGAAAGTTGGTTACAAACATAATGACACTTTATCCCCAATACTTCCAGTGTGAATCTGTCACCCAAAAAACTTAGAGGTAATTCTATAATACAACCAGTCCACATCCACATCCCCCAGTTGTCTCAAGAATGCTTTCTTGGGGCCAGTCCCGTGGCTGAGTAGTTAAGTTCGCACACTGCGCTTTGGTGGCCCAGGGTTTTGTTGGTTCGGATCCTGGGCTCAGACATGGCACCACTCCTCAGGCCTTGCTGAGGTGGCATCCCACATAGCACAGCCAGAAAGACCTACAACTAGAATATACAACTATGTGCCGGGGGGCTTTGGGGGAGAAGGAGAAGAAAAGGAAAAAACAGATGTTAGCTCAGGTGTCAATCCCAAAAAAAAAAGAATGCCTTTTACAGCTGTCCCACCCGCCCCACCCCAGGCTCAGTCATGGGTCCCACATCCGTGTGGTTAATTATGTGTCTTTAGTCTAAACTTGGAACAGGTTCCTCCACCCCTGCCCCTTTTCAAAAAGTTTTTATGACGTTGACTTTTGGAATGGTCCAGGCCGGTTGTCTTACAGAGCATTGGACCCCCTGGATTTGTCTGCTTCGTGCTGTCGTAGAGTTTCTTCTCACTTCCCCAGTGTGTTCCCTCAATGGGAAGATGGGCCTGGAAGCCTAAGCACAGTCAAGTGAGCACTTTGGGCGGGAGTCCTTCCCAGAGAGGCAGTGGACTTCGTACGGCATCACGTCAGGGCCACATGGGACTGCGACTGAGTGCTGCCAGGGTCTGTCCGTTGAGGAGGTGGCTCCAGCCTCTGCTCTCAGCACGCTGCCTGCCAGCGGCCCTTTGGTCCTGAGTGTACTGTCTTGTGCACCCTCCCACTCCAGCCTGATGGGGGTAGGAAAGTGCTTGTTTTCTGCT